TTTTAGAAGATAAAATTCTAACTTTGATACCATACAACAATACAAAAGAGTCAAATTGAATTATCTTTCACAAGGTAAAATTCCTTAAAAGGATAATCAAGGATCACACTCATGCCAAAGTGGCACACTATCACAATATATATTTAACACACAACTAATTATAGGGTACAATAATATGTATGTATATATATATATATATATATATAACAAGTTATGAGCAAGCCTTGTTTATGAAATGCAAATTCTACACAGTGCAACTCAGTTGCGGAGATTGGATGCTTTCACACTAATGGGTGGAGCGAGGATGTGTCTGCAAACTGCAATTGAGCTTTACTCGTATCTTAGGATATCAATGGGAACATGAGTTAACAGATCAATCAAAACTAAATTCAACATAGAAGCCACATAAGTTTAGAACCAAGTCTGGTTATTTCCAAATTTTATAACCAAGGGAGGATGTGAAGTTACAACTCCACATACAACTGGAGCTGGGAATGGCCCACGAGGCCGCCCTTCAACCCTAATAATTTGCCGATGCACCACTTTTACTTATAGTGATTTCGGAGTCTCCTTCTCTCTCTAGTGATTGATTGCTCTCTCTCTCTCGCAGGACGGGAGAATGTATGTCTCCGATTCACCTTGCCCGTCTCCGTCTGAAGGAATATTTGATTAATTGACTGGCGTGCCCACTCAGCCAGCCCTCGTCATGCATACGGAGATGGAGATGAAAAGCGGCAACCATGACATCAAACCATCCAACACATGCACTACAGGGAGGTCCTGGGGAGGGGCTCTAGCAAGGTGGTGTACTGAGCATTGGTCAGCCAGCAGGGCTCCGAGGTGGCCTGGAATCGGGTCTCTCTTGGTGCTGACCCCAACCCGTTCCAGGTGCACCAGCTTGAGTACAAAATCTACTTCTTGGAGACGTTGTAGCAAACCCAACATAATCAGCTGCACTGCGGTCTGGGTCGACGACCCCAACATGAAAGTGAACTTCATCATGGAGCTGTTCAGTTCTGGAATCCTAGCAAACTACTACAAGCTGCATAGGAAGCATGTGAAAATGGACACGGTGAAGAGCTGGGTGAGGCAAATTCGGTGTGGGCTGAAGTATTTGCACACTCGAAAGCCGCCCATAGTCCACCGAGACATCAAATGTGACATCTTCATAAATGGGAACACGGGCAAGTTAAAAATAGAAGACATGGGATTTGCCAAAGAAATGAGAGAGGCAAGTCTGGACAGGATCTTGGGAACGCCGAAATTCATGGCGCCAGAGATTCTGGACCGGGACTACAACCTCCTGGTGGATGTGTACGCATTGGGCATGAGAGTGCTGGAGATGATAACCAAGGAGTACCCGTACAAGTACTGCGAGAGCACGTGCGAGATCTTCATGAAAGTTAGGGCTAGGAAGTATTCAGACTTGCTGCAGAAGATCAGCAACCCGCAGGCACGAGCATGCATCATGAGATATGTGGAGAGCATTGTGCGAAAATGACACAAGTGGTTGATGTGGCAGGCCGGCCCTCGCATCTGCTTAGGCCGAGATTCTGCATGCTTGCAGCTGAAGTTAACCATAGCACTCATCGCGCACTTCTTCAAGTTTCATTTAGTACCTGGACAAGAGATAACCTACACCACTACTTTGGTCATGCCCATCAAGAATGGGCTCAAGGTCACTCTCTCCCCTCGGCAGCAATACTGATTTTTCGAATCAACTTCATGAGTATTGCGCAAATTGGAGGTGTCCAGGGATTGCTCATGAAGAAAATTGACATAACATTCATGGAGGAGGAGATCAGCACGTGTTTTTTAGTAATAGCCTTGCAAAGCTCATTATTGCTCTAGGAATGAAGCACCGTAATTGTGTTGGCCCAAGGGAAATAGTGTCTCATAAGATCCAGTGGTAGAATTGATGATACACATCCTGCGTTGTTTTACTGTTGTCGGCGAGAGTTCAAATTCGAATTGAAGGGCCTTAAATCGTTTGGGTTAGCTCGTTTAGGGCATGCACCGACGTCATGTTCAGTTCTGTTTTAAGATGTAAGATTAAGTTTGGCTACCAGTTCCCTCAGTTACGCAATCTGATATGTACAGTGGTACCATCCGCTGGTTGAAATGTTCCATTATTCACGATATATTTATATTTTTCCTTATTTTGCTTCGAACACAAGAACTTTGTGGCTGATCACCACCAATAACCAACGATGTATCCCTGAAGCAACGACCATGTTGTCAGTTTCTATTTAGTTCACTCAACTTTCCACATGTGTTTTGCTTCCTCAGCACCTTCAAGTTGGACGCACCCATTCACCTCCAATCAATCACTGACCAAAATCTTTCATTGTTTCATTCATCAATAAACTCGAGATTGTTCAAGTATATTAGTGCACAACCTAACGATAATTAGCAACAATGGCAATGCCTTGGCGAGAGCTCTCTAAGGGTTGGCGGAGGAGGGGAGCAAGCGGATCAAGAGTTGGTATGTTGGAATGGACAGGGCTGAGGGCACAAGATTCTGGAGTTTTGTTTGGCCCTGTCAATAGTGGAAGTGTTCTTGACCTTCGTAGTCATCACTGTCACCACTACCACCACCATCACCACCATCGCAAGTCTCCTCCTCCACCATCTCCCCCACCTCCCCCACCACCACCTCGTGCAATTTTGAGTAGTTTGGAGCTTTCCAACGCGTTCATTCTCGATCCCCCTATCGCCCCATCCATCCACAAGTACACCACAACAGTTGGCGAATACGTCTCCAAAGTTCATATCATAGTTTCTGTGCCTCCAGATATCCAGGTATAAACATGCACGGTTTTTCAACTTGTCACTCCCATTTGTTTTGATTGTACGAGAATTCTGCTACTTCAATTGGGCTCTCGTCATTGAGGCTATCTCTTATGAAATGAGACAAGTAGGTCATAGTATTAGGTGTCGGCGTCACTTGTCGTTCTCATTTCGGATGGTAGCCTTGGTTGAGTATACAGGGATGTTTTTTGAGGAATTGGTGTATGAAGATCGCTTTCTCGATTTGTATCGAAGCCCGGGAAGTGCATTGAATTCCTGATTATGATTTTAGTTATTTGCAGGCGTATAGGCTCACTGTCAATTCATCGAACCTACTCAGTGGGGAGGAGAGCCCTCCGATTGTCATTGGAAATGGAGAGTGGGTGGACGTAGTGGTAACCATATCAGCACCCAGCCACTCATCAAACCGCTACCTAATCTCTATCTATCGACGTAAGGATTCTAACACTTCTTCTACAAACATTTTCTACATTTCTGGGGTTTCTTATGCTCACTTTCTGCCAAGATGTTTAACGTCAGATAGTGCACGACATCTGTGTAAACAGCATTTCAATTGGGTGTTTTTTGGAGGAAACTGTTGGCGCACGTGTCCCACGATCAGATGTTTCCAACTCACTTGAAACCGCCCAAACTTGATATCAATTAATTGCGGCTTTAAATGACATCAAACGCAACTAGATAACAGCCGAGTGGTACTTTTATATAGATTTTTTGACTCTGATGAACTGATCAATTGCTCGTAGTTTTACAAATGCCTTCACAACATGAAGACCAGCCATTCTTGACTTTTGCACGTAAAAGTACTTTGCACATCAGGTTCTCCGTTTGCTCATGCAAATTTTAGGCACATGGGTACTACGATCAGCGTCCTGTTTGTGATGCAGTTGAGAAGTCAAGTCTCAAGTAGAGAATACTGAAGAAGGTCGTCATCGTGACGCTGGTGATTTTGCTAGTACTGGGCATTCTCTACTTCACCTTTTCTTTCTTAAGAGCCTCACAGTGCCTTCGAAAGTACCGTTGGCCATTTAACGGGCACGCTTATCAACAACTCAACCCAAAACACCGAAATCAACCACATCCTTGACAAGGCAGATCAGAAACTCAAGCCCAACACCATGAGATTTTTGATACAGCAGTCCTTCATGTGGGAAGCTTGAGACCTGCACAACTATCCAAGCCTCTTCTACTTCGCCACAGGTACCTATCTGTAAACAAACTTTTCTGCAGTGGAGCTTAATCTGGCAATTTTCACTAAACTAAGCTCGGGTCGGCTGAGCATACGACCGTTTTCTTCTCCTGGAATACGTGACATTGGTTTCATAGAACGATGCATGGGTAAATATATCTGTGCAATCTCGCCACGATTGTCTGTTCTGAAGGCTCCACAAGCAAGCTTGCCACCATCCCCGTCTTCTCCAACAGGTTTAAGAGTTGAGCAGTGCTTCTAGTGGGTAAGACCTCTACAGTAATCGCATTGTTGCAGGTTTTCAATAGCCATTGTTGTTGAATGCTTGTATCCTTATTACAGAGCATTGCTTGTAAAGCTATGTGATTAGATGAGTAGATCCTGACGTCAGTATTGAATAGTGTCTTATTCACAGGAATCAATTATGAAATTTCATTAAAGTGTAAGCTTTAAAAACTCTCAACAATTACATCAAATTATAAATTTGAATTATATATTTTATTTCAATAAATTATTTTAGGTTGATTCTTAAAAGTCAAAGAAAATTTTGTAAGCTCTGTAAGGATCTGAAATTATGTTTATGATAGTTGCTTACAGTACAAAAACATAAAATACTAATTGAATTAATGTTACTTTATTTTGTTTCCCGTTAAGATTTATAATGTTGAATCCATAATCTTCTTAATGAATACAAAAAGATAATACAAGTATCTTCCATCTAATTTTCTATATTTAAAAAATAAAAATAAAATTTACGATATTGAAACACTAGAGCTGAAAAATGTTCATGTATTATATGTGATATTATTTTAGAATATCAATACATATTAAAATTTTAATACTTATTTCTTTGTGATTAAATATTAATTCAATGCTTCATTTTTTCAGAAGATGAGATATATTTAAGGCTACAAATTTGTATACAACATGTATCTCTTCGCCAAATTGTTATCCAATTTCTCCCACAACTCATACACCAGAAAGTCCAAGAGATAGCCCCAGATAAAAAACCGATGAGTTTTACATGTTTTACATTCTGAAATTTATAAGCACAAAATTAGAACAATGCACAACTCTGACACCTGACGGTGCTAAGTTTCTGTTTACGCATGCTGGGAACTTACCCACATCAAGCGTTACCAGCTTCAGAACTCCTACTGTCTTTGTTGTAATCTTCTGAGGAAAACCCAAACGCCTAAAGGAAGCAAAGATTTCTCGACATTCTTCCACACAATTGCTCAACATCAAAGGGCAGCATGGCGGACAACCACAGTAACACCTTGGCTATGTGAAGTATCCTTTCTTATCTGGAACTACACTCCCAAGCCAGAACAGAACCGGTACATGAGTGGTTCTTCATTTCAGTAATAAACTAAGGTTTGTTGCCGAAGCAGCGAAAGTACCACATTCTTGAATACATTCAACTGATTTCGGGAAAAGCTAAGGCCACGACGCGCTTCAAAGATCTCAATGGACGCTCTAGAAACTCAAAATTTTGAGAAGCTGCCAGAACAAATGCAAGAGGTTCACCATCAGATATTACTCGTGCTTAAAAAATCCACTATATTAACTATAACTCAGTAAATTGAGACTCGCTTAATACCATAAACGAGAAAATTTGCTATCTAATCTGAATTCGAATTCAAGATTAGAATCCAAGATTCGAATTCAAGAACAAAGACAATCTCATAGGAATCGTTAAAGTTTCCACATATTCTCTACCGGGAGAGCTTAAACAAACAAACATGGACTTCACATAGCGCCCCGACTGGAACACACCATTGGATGCAACTGACCTGATAGCAAAGCGCGGAACTCTTTCCCAAAGTCGTCAGATCGTAGAGGATGAGGGGTAAGACCACAACTTCTACATACAGCCACACCGAGGTAAAGAGATTTTTCCAAAATACCGAAGAGAAGTAGACAGACATCTTTTACAGCCTCCTGGATCACTTTCCCTTCTCTTGCGCGTAATATATCTATCAGAACGGCCCCAACTTGATCCTGCGACATGCATATTTCCTTTTTTTTCAATATAGATAAGACACATTGATCAAGACCGCCTAAAGTTACATAGCTTCATATGAATAATTGAAAGATCCAACTAAAATCAAGCAAACACGACGCATCCTTTTTATCACCGGGGCAGCAAATATGTAATGTACCTGTAAGTGATAAAGAACCTCCGGAGCAGGAAGCTGAGGAAAATGGCTGTAATCGATTGCCCCTCTATCCTCAAATCTATCAACTGCATGTCGTACTTGTTTGCAATTGAAGTTGAGAAGAAGAAGCACTAGTCTGTACACATTAATAGCAACAAGATCCGAGTACTCTGTATATGTAACGCTGGAGGTAATAGATGGAAGGCTCCCACTTGTAATTAGACCTGACCCTGATAATGAAGAGCTAGACCTTGTGGGAGAAGCGGCTGCTGCCTGAGGTGCAACCTTGGGAGGAGGAGAGGCTGCTCCGTTACTCTCTTTCACTGTAGAGCCTTTGGCACACAGTGCAAACCACCCGGCACAGCTTCCTACAAAAGACGGTCTGCCGTGAGCAATAATTTCTTCCTTTTGTACTGGATGGCACTGGATGCCTACATGGAAGCTATGATAGACTCCAGATCGAACTAAACCCTCTCTGGCAATGTATGCCAACAGGTGCAAACTCATCTCTTCAAATTCAGTAATAGATTCTGGTAACGTCCGCCCCCATGTCAGTTGGTGATTTGCAAGCTCACATATCAAAGACATCACGTGCTGCACTTCCTGCATTCAATACACGGGTCAAATCCCGAGTAAAACTCCAAAATCAGAATGAAAACAGAAATAAATGTATTCTTTGCAGTCAGATAATTATGTATGATCATACCTGCAATGCCGAGATAGTTGTTCTTGGCTGTTGCAGCTTTGCCTTTTTCCTGCCTTGAGTATCCAACCCAGGAACTGGTGCCCGTAAAGATGACAGTAATAACTCTTTCAACGCAGCAACATAAGTGAATGCGCTTTCTACCAGTGATCCCCCAAGAATTTTCTCACCCCCCGAACGTATAAGAGCTGTAACAACAGCCAACTGCAGCCTCCACATGTGTCCTTCTGAAGGCTGGTCTCGATTAGGCCATACACTAAAAGGGCCTTCCATGCTGCTTGAAATAACCTTGTTGTCCTGAGCGTTTCACAAAATTACACTTACTGAGTACAGTAGAGGAAAACCGAACAAACCAAAAAAGAAAGCAAGAAGAGATTAGTTTTTCTGCATCATTTTCAGGGTGGTTTTTAAAAGGTTGATTACAGCACGATATGCAACCACAAACAATAGCCATCATTGTAACCAAAATGTTCAATTGTGATCAACGTTCTTACGAACTTTATGCAAGACGGGAATGGGTGAACCCACCTGCAATTGCTTACTCAAAGTGAGAAGATGAGAAAAGATTCCTGTATTTTGCAGCATCTCTGCGCCCACTCTCATGCGGGCAAGTGAGAGGCATATATTCAATGCAACCCTCGGAGATTCACTGTTTACATCTGCATGTATCCTTCTAATAAGAGATTGAGTTGGAAAGTGATTCTGCAGAATCGGCATCCAAGTAGTTGGTGCAATAAAACCCTTAATTAAGAGGTTTATTCCTGCAAGTGCAAGATTAGCGTACAAAGGGTGTTCAACGGCAGTGCATAGACCAGGGAGAAAACCAAGTCCCATCAGAGTGACATCTGAGAAGGCATCGCCCATCTCATGACCGCCTTCAATCGTCCTCTCCTCAGCATTTTCTGCAGTGCTTCCATTTTGAGTGTAAATAACTTCCAAGGCTATTATAAAGGCTCCTAATAGCTCTTTCACTAGCTCCTCGCCTTGCTGCAGAAAGTCTACATGAGAATCTAACTGGAGTTTCAGACAGCCAACAGTAGTCCGAACGATCTTTGCACAAACAGCCCACAACCGAAGTTTTCGTGATGAAGAAGGGGTGACACGGTTCCACAGCCAACGCGCAAATATCAGGAGCAAATGTGCTTGCATGGCCATGAATGTAGGCAAAAGGTTTGATGTGTCTTTTGCAAGTCCAATGGCTACCACTGCTGACTCTAGTGCCTCACAAAGATCCTCAGTACATCGATACACGTCTTCATCATTCCACTCAAGTTCAGATGCAACTGCTTCGCTTCGGACCTGTTAGAGAAACGTAGCCAACGTAAGTATAAGAGAGAAATAAAAAAGACAAAAAAATAACTAGACCGGGACATTAAACGACATGAATTTTAGGATGACGTAGAAATATTAAGGCTTTGAACTGGTCCAAGTCGATCAATGGCTGAGCACTATTAGTCCAAGTAAATATGAAAAGAACAACGTCGTTGCCTTTGTTCATATGCTACATGTTGGAACATGCACAACATTTGAGCCGAAGCAAAATTCAGATCAAGCATATGTTTCTAATTTAAAACACTTTGTGTTGTGCTAAAACATTGCCACTTCGTACTGACATTAAGACAAGGCTGAGATATAAAAAACTTACTCCTTGCTTATCGAAGATACACACTGTAACCACAGCTGCCCACGCTCTGAGAGCAGACAGCTGCGAGTGTCCCAAGCTAGCCATGGTATTCGCTTGTTCCAAATAGCTAATGGATCTTTCTACTACAGAAGGCGGCAAGATGGCTGTTTCCGTCTGGGACCACCACTCAAGACCTAACTCGGATTCTAAGGCCTTAGTATCATACACATATCCGTTTCCGTATGCAGGATGCAGCCCTTCTAAAATTGGGAATTTACCAATTGAACCCAGAAGTTCCATTTCTTTTGTCAACAGAAATGCCGCTATCCGCTGAAAAGGTCCAGTCGGTAATGGCCTGCCCCCTACTATCTCTCCTTGTAAATGATGATAAAGATCACTCATAAGCATGACCTGCAGCTGGTTTCCATGACTGAAGAATGGAAGCAATTCAGTTCCAAGATTTCAACTAACTTCAACAGAAAAGAAGCAATCAGAATTATATGAACTTCGCCGTATCTTGAAACATGTCTAACAGAACTAAGAAATTGTAATCTTCACCCAAGAGAAACAAATCGAACCATACCTGTAACCTCGTGCGGTGTACTGTACTACAAGTTCTTCAAATGATGAGAGTTGAAACACCTACAGCTCAAACAATGACGAATGTAATACTTAAATAAATCTGGTTTTAGTAATACCATCACGAAATTCTCAAAACATTCGCAATTTATAGTTGGACGTATCTATATCAGAACTCCACACTACACAATATGCATGACTAATCAGAAACATGACCAAATAGCTCAGAGAAATTATGTTAAGTGCAAACCGTACCTGTGTCATGGTCTGTCGCAAGCGCTCAAGAAGAGCAGCACTAATGCCTCTAACATCCCCAGCTAAAACCTTTCTCATCATACCCACAATCAGCACTCGTGCTTCCGCCTGCGGAAATACGATCCATCAATTCCAGTTCTTAACAGAAATCTTCAGTCTATTGGCAAGCACTACACAAATGGGCACATGCTCAGACAATAAAAATATCATTAAAAACATAACACAACCACGACAAATATATCATTAACATCCACGAGAAATAATGGAAACAAGCCCAACAACGATTACGTGTCTCAATAAAACAAACTGATAATTATGTCACAGCATGGAAGAACAAAGCAGGCTATAGAAAAGTACCTTGGCCCTAAGAATAACTTCTTGATCATAAGAACAAAATGTATATGATTTGAGTATGCTGCTCGTAACTGATTTTTTGGCCCATTCGTTGATTATCTCAAATGCACCAGATTTTGAGGAAGGGAGCTTCGCAATAGAGCTTGTATCGCTCCCGACGGTCGCGCTCTCTCCACTTGACGATTTATTGTTGCTTTGTGAAAGACCACTAGTAGTAGGTTCATTGCTTGTTGGGTAAAGCAGACACTTTTGTAGAAACACGTCACAGGCCATAATTGTTAAAATTGACGCTTCACATCTATATCTAAATGCTTGCAATAGGATTTCATGTTTATTTAGGTCGCCCGTATTTTGATGAAGAGTAGGAATTGGACTAGTAGTCAATCCACTTATGAATGACAGACCAGAAGCTAGGTTTCTCCAAAAATTTGGTTTCTGGCGAAGTGTCTCAATAATGCGAAGGTATTCAATGCCCTCTTGCCATATTGAGGCTAAAAGAAAAAGCACTCTCGATAGCATCTGTGGGTGGCTGTGGAAAAAAACAACAATAGGAAACAAGCGATGAGAAATATACAATTCAAGCGGTATTCCTGGACATAAAGAGCAGCTGCTTTATTATCGACGTTTCCTAATCTCTGAACAAGGAAAGATAATTGGAAAAAAATAAAAATAAGTAGCATACCTTTTAACAAGTTCATTAGATTTGAGAATTGTTTTCCATAGCACATCAAGTACTCCGCTTGAATGATCTGCAGATGAAGGACCAGAGTGTGCCGACTGTGCCGCGGAGAGATCGCCAGTTACTCGAATAGTTGACAGAGACTGTTCGGCTGGAAATAAAAACAGTGCCACTAGGGACGGCTGCCAGTTCCCACAATCATGTCAGCACCATCCACGAAGAATGCATCAATTACAAAAATGTAAGGGTTCTTAACACCCAAAATTCACCCACCAGAATCATGCGTCAAGCTGTGTCTCAGTGGCCCGTATGATAAGTTTGCCAAGATAATCTCAGTTTCTTTACTCAAGCGCAATTAATAATTGAAAGATGCAAGTGCGTGATTGTCACATGCGATAGATTATAAACGATACTCGAACATCCACTTACTTGCCATTTTACTGCAGTAGTTAAGAGCTCAATTATTGCGATAAACAACTCCTGATGGGACACCCAGCCTTCTTCCGACAAAAATTGACATATTACATTGCGCAAAACCTTCCTCTACAAGTGAATCGAGAATAATTTGTCAGACTAGAATAAAAATGCAGGTAAACATATATAAGGGAATCTTAAACGACACGCTATGCGACATTTCACTCCACTCGGTCACCCCACAATCTACAGATATAACAAACAGTTGGGTAGTAGTTAAAGTAAAACATCTACAAAACTAGGAAGCACCTTCAAAATGTGAAGGTTTGGAAAGATAACTTACTTGGTCAGGAGAAGAAATGTAGCTCGCTATGCTGACCGAATGAGGCCGTGCTTTCTGAGCTGAAACGCAGAGGCTGGTGAGAGCCCTTACACTTGCTAATTGCATGTCCTGAAAGCTCAGTGAGCAGTCCTAGATTAGGCATAAAGAACAAATATGTACATCATGAACCGAGGCGCTAGACTGACGAAGATATCACCAGCTATGATAGACGGTATTATGACAACAGACTCCAGTTTTAGAAACGGCACGGAAAACAGATCACCAATAGTTCATACCGCATTGCGAGAGAAACTTAAGAATGAAGCAATTATTGCAACTACAGGCAGAGGGCCAGCAAACTTCCGCAAAAGAGACTGCTCCAACAGTGACATTCCTGGATAATCCTGAACCATCATAGAAGAAACGTTAAGAAACACTTTCAGAGCTATGGCATAAAGGTTAGCTGTCCAGCAAAAAACTAAAATATAAAAGGCACACCTTTGTGAAGGGAATGTATTTGTAGGAAGCGTAAACACAAAATTACTTGCTGCTACTGCGCTGCTTGACACTGCAGCATGGTGTTCCAGCAACCTCGCTATCAAACAATACATTTTCAATTTAGGAGAAGGGACTCACTTTTGATGCAGGGCCAACAGTCGCATCAAGAAGGACATGGTGCAGAAGTAAAAGAACTGTATGTAGGGCATACTGTACCCATTCCAGTTCTCTGGGTCTCACTGATCGATTGTAGTGCAGCTCCTGCAGTAGATAAACATAAGTGACTGTAAAAAACTTTACGAATTCGCACCAACACGTTTCATGATATTTAATTGCGCAGTGAAGCTGAACACATGCCACGACTCAACACATTCGAAAACATTTACAAAGTAAATGTATAGAATTGTACTCACCTCTAAAGTTGAACCTATGGACAAAATTTGGAAAATGAAATCTTGGATAATAGAGTCGAAGAGAAAAGTTTCTAGCAACACCCTTCGTAAGTTCCCAGTTGACACTCTTGATGATGTTCCTGTCAGTACTGACAAGCTAACCTGCAATGTCTGCATTGTCAACTCTAAATGTCAGGTACCCAGACTTCAGTAATATCCAATGGCTTGCATCATCTTATGGTATGCACGCCTCTCATTTTCTGTGTTTGGTGTATTTGTACAGGAACATTTTTCTTTGCTACTAAAAACGATGCACTTGCATAAATCACCTAGTAAATCCTGCAAGAACACCTGAGTAGTGATCTGCCACCGTTGATGAGGTTGTTGGTATTTCCAGTTTCCATGGTTCAGAAGTAGCTCCCGCACCATATACATGACGAGAGAAGATAACATTTCGGATTCAACACCTTTCTCAACTATTGTTTTGGTAAAACCAAGGGCTGGCACACATTAAAATAATCAAAATTTAATAATTGCCCAACCTTGTAATAAAGAAAGCTTAAACCTTGGTCAACTACTAGAATCAGGAAACTTCATGAAAAAGAAAAACAAAATTCTGAAGCATGGGAAATCACCAACGTAAATCACAACGATGACTTGAGAAACCAGTACCAGCCAGAGCAAGAGGGTAGTCTCCAATACTCGGCTCTACTTTCTGCAGAAGCATTTGAAGAAGACTTCCAGTAGAGACCCACTCGCCACTGCAATAAACCCAAAATCCTCATTGGAAGAATCCAAGTTCAACAACTATCGCATAACTTAAGTGCTGTGAAAAAGATAAAATGTGGCAGCATAGTACAGCCGAAACAAATAGCAATAGGTTCCTCTTTGCGTGCTGTGACTTTTGGTTCCAGAATCAGAATTTGATGCACGGGTACAATTCTGATAACTGTTAGGGGTGAAGATTAAAAGCTATCAAAGCTTTGGATGAATCAGGAAAAATTAGAACTTGAAATTTACCTTGACTAAGATAATGTCTCTACATAGGAGCACAGAACAAGAAAACATCAGAGGGAAAGAGATATTGCACATTTATGAAACGCAACACATATGCCCAACGTCAAAGCATTTAACTATGAATTAAACCAGGACCAAAACCAGGTGTGAAAGTTGTAATAATGTTACCCAATGGAGCTGCCAAACGGCTGAAGAAGACTCGTTCTCCCAAGCTCCTCCATTACTTGCTCAGGCGAGCTGAACACACAATTCAATGATAAATAGTTTCTTACCACTAACTAAATTTAGAACTTCAGGATAATATTACATTGTGACTCAGAATTGGACAAATCGCCGTGCCACTCGCCGCCATCAGAGGTTGAAAATGAAACGATGGACCAAGATATCAGTTACTTACCAAAGCGCGAAAGAACCAAGTATATGCATGCAGGAGGACAACATGACATAATTACCACGACTTTGAGCCAATCCGTTGATTATGGCACAAATCATAGCCACAACATCAATTCTGCGCGTCACCAATACTTCTCGATTAGTCATCCCACTTCAATCAACCAATGGGGTGCTTAAGAATAAAAAACTTGAGATTGAGAGTTTCCACACCTCAGAAAATCCTCCATGCGTCCATCACGGCGGGCAGTCACAGTTGCCACGGCACCATCCAGGTCCAACAACAACTGAGCTAGAACCTAAAATACCAGGAAATACCGAGAGGTTAATGAGCTTAAAGTTATACTCCCGTCATTAAAAGTACATTCTATTTTCGGTAAATAGGATTCCAGGGAGAATCTTAATATTCTTCAAAATTAACCAAGCCCGAAGATAGTAGGATTGTCGTACCTTGTTAGAAGAGAGCATTTGTTGCAACAGATCAAGGCTAGCATGGACCTCTTCCAACAGGTAACCAGAGGCTGAACGTTGCAGCATGCGTAGCAGAAGAATCAGAATACCACTGTGTTCGCACTGCACTCCCCAAGGAGCAATTCGAAAACAGAAAACCAGAAATTGACTGAGTACTTTAAGAGGACACTCTTTGCTCCAATTGAAGTACAAGACGAAATAAAGCGATAAGAAAAGTAATAAGAACAATAAATTGCAAATTCGAAAGTTAACAAAATCGGTACGATATCCAAAAGGTACTAATACAGAGGCCCAGAGAAACATACGCCCGAACCATTGATTGAACCCAGCTACCGTCAAAAGAAAATAGTCTTTACCTCCCAATGGACAAGACTGACACGTCCATCAATGACTCTCGAGATGCGTCCGTAAGTGCCCCGAGGAATCATTAGACCAGGGGCACCAGGAACTAGAAGAGTAACATTTGTCTGCAAAACACTCCCCTTTTCGCACATAACTGCTCCCTCCGGATGCTGGTAAAGGGAGGTAACTTTTACCATCTTGTAGAGAAAATCGTATCTGCAAAGAATATATATAGATACAAAGAAGTTAAGGGCATACTACTCAAAAAAAAGCAGTACTCAGATATCAAAACTACATTATTGAAAATAGCAACTCGCGAAAGTAAAATGGACAATTAGTACACTTACACACATTCAGCTGGCCATGGTCCTTTGCATTGGGCAGCCAACAGCCGCACTAGCGACAAAGTTTGGTAAGGGAAATCCTCCCGTAGCGTGAATAATAAATTTCGAATGGGCCCATCAATTACACTATCACGATCCCATAGCTCTAAGCAAAGAGATTCCTGTATGACAAGGAGACAGAATTTCATCTCATTCATATTAAGCTGAATCACTAATCATCAACCAATGATGAGAAAGTGTGTTCTACTTCCTCTGACTAGATAACAAATCTACTTCCCGCTTCTGTAAAAAACTAAAAAGCAAACAATTTAAGCCACGGTTTAGGCTAAGGCATAAAAACAATAAAGATTATACAGGTAAAATATGTCTGACAACGAACCACCAAATCAGGCTAATTAGGGAGGTCGAACAATCAGAGTTACGTCATCTGAGTTGGAGAGAGCAAAACAAGACATCACTAACCTGACCACGATAAATTTCGCAAAAAATATTGATGAGGATGTCGTAGCCTTCGTAATCCATCTGCGTAGAAAATAAAAATAAAAAATCATTCTTCCATGTTCCACAGGTCCATACCAGGTGAAGAGACCTTGAACTACTACCTAGAAATTATAAAATATTAAAACCTTAGAAAATACCCGGGTTGCAGAATCGAACGCTGCAAGAAATGCTGCAGCCAATGTTTTCACGACACTTTTATATCCACCCACTTGCACCTGTATAAAACCAGAAACTATAAGCGAATGATTTAACCAGTATTCAAACATGAAGTTTGAAGACGCATGGACGAGCAAAACGTTTACAGCACACCGCATAGGTGATCAGATTCATCTTCCAACAATTAAATACGACAAATAAAATTCCACTGCCAAGACACACAGATACGATACACACGAGCTCTGGTAAAGTTTGCGAAGGTGGCGCAGACTGTCAAAATACCGGCCAGAAGCTTTAAAGTTAAATAATAACTTACATCTGATTCTTGAAAGGAGTCACTTCGGAGCATTTCCAGCAGATAACTGTATGCTCCACCATCATATGCCTGCCGAACGCATGCAGAAAGATCCATTTCCTGACAAACCAGGATAAACTTAAGCGTCAAGGGAGGCATACCAATTCACCGTTGTTTATTGCAACCAAATTGGAGTCGAACTCGGTTAAAATCATCAAATCCAACATCGAGGCTTCAATACGCCTGACTAGTTGATGTCAGTATTATGCAGGTACTGATTGCACACCTGAAAAGGAGCTTGATCACCAGATACTGGCAGGAAGGATACAAGGCAGAGGAAGGTAGCCCAGCCCAACAGAAGAGGTGCATACTCTGGGGCTTCTGATGTGTCGAGATTGCCGATTATACCATCCAGCTCCTGAACCTCTGCCACAGAGAATGTGTGTCCGCCCTGGCTGTTTAAAACCCCACGGTTAAATTCTTGGGAATGTATGGAGACCTATTCTAAATCACTAACCACATACTGTTGCCAAAACTATGCCTTCTTAACTAAATTGTAGAATCCAGAAAGCTGAAGTTAATACTATTGCTCAATAAGAATATGGGGTACTGAATCGAGAAAAGATTATTTATGATATCATGTTAAACCTGGGCGTAAAAACTATAAATACTCAACCACAAGACTTTAATAATTAAAAGAAAAAATAAATCTCTGTAATGCAACAAGACAATTTTTGTTCCTTCCTATTAATTAAATAGGAGGAAAAAAATTGCTCGTCTTCGACTAAGACTTAAATGCATCAACTAGAGATTCCCATGTGCCTTGAAAGAACAAGAAATATAAAATGTGTTTTATGTGATGAAGTGGCAACCTGAAAGGCGTTTCATCATGAACCATTAACAACAAATTCTCAAGGTCTAAAGCTTCAATCAGGATAAGCACTGCTTGCTGTCGTACATGCGCAACGCATCTCGCTGCTTCTGTAGAAAACACAAGCCTTTCACCGTGCCCGCTTCCAAAGACGGTGCCCTGCATAACTCAGAATGATCAGCTCAGAACTACGAACAGAGAGGACGCAACAAGTAAAGTATAAGCCGAAAATACAATCACCATACCTAGCGATCTATAACTAGGATGAATGAGGTGCTTACTAAATTATACCTTAAATACTCCACGCATAAAACTCAAATCTCCAAGATATTGGAGCAAAGTCAACTCGTATTAGAAAAGCATACCTGAAAGCAACTTAGCAGCTCCTTAAATCGAGCTGCTTTGCAAGAATTCAATGGTTCGTAGTACAAAAGAAAGAGAACGTCAAGTAGCAAACTTTGTTCCAAAACGGTCTCTTCAGCCCAAAACACTGTGTATTCTCGATCCTGAGTCATCAAGCTCCTGGTCAGCAAATGAGTTTCCATCCTCGTAGAACAAATTCATCTATGCTAGGATACTTATACATAAAGAACTCAACGCGGAATGACGATGCATTAAGTAGTCCTACAATAGAGGCTACCCCTGAACCTGATTGAAGGACCTCATAGAAAACTAACAAAAATCCTAAACCTTGAACAAAAAATCCAACAATGCATGCAGACCGTCCCCAAAATCGTCTACAACGATTGAGGCTATAAGCTACTCACCCCCTCCCCCCCCCCCAAAGAAAAATATTCTACTATTGCTCCCTCTTGCAAATAATCCGGCTAGTACTAGGAAGTTTTCATAAGTTATCTCACGTAAATGCAGATGACAAATTCGCAATCATAGATACTTCATTAAGATGCTGCTTTTGAAATTCCAGAGATCCCAGATTCATCATTTCGAGCAGTCCGAGCAGGGTGTAATCATCTTTGTCACATGTAATAAAAGCAATGTGAGGGACCAAACAGACAAGCAAGGGCCTTACTAAATGCTGGGGCTGTACAACGGCCAAGCGGTCTTTTAAGTTGGCAAGTGTCTTATCCTCAAAACCATCTTCTAATAGTTGCTTAACCTCCAAGCACATAGCCTTGTAGGAGCTCAGCGATTCACCTTCATCCGCCACTGTGGATGCACAAACAAAAATTACTTGGAAATGCTGAGAAAACCATGTCGTTAGCATACATATGTTAGCAGCTAGAATCCAACAACCACGCACTTCCAAGTATGGAGACGCACTATAGGTGCCTAACAGCGTGTCTGTAGGATACAACGACAGACAAAATAAAACCGAAAAGAAAACACGAGGAATCTTTGGACAATTTCAAAACACTCTACACCGAACATACTTTGAAACGTAAGCAACAGCTGACAACTCTTCAGCAGACATTGGCGCTCCACATAGTAATACAAAGTTATCTGCACTCATCATCAATAAAGAAAAACGCTAGATCAACTTAAGGTTAATCATATGCGACCTGATTTAAATTTGTTGAAAACAAAAACTGATACAACAAAACTTGTGATTTCCAAATAAGTGATCCCGTTTACAACATAAAAATTCTGTTATAAGCTGACTGAACACTAGACTGTAGTAGGTCAAAGAAAAGAAAGGTCTGCAACCTACACAGTCTCTAATGCGCTTCCTAGAATCAGACATAGTAATCATTTGAAGCTACTCACAGCTTGTAAAAATGCTCTGTCGGCAGAAAATGGCACCAGCGCCCCCGACTCTATATGCCTGGACAGCAATATATAAGCTTGCACTTCATCCAGGACCTGTATTAAAACCACCGCAAATCATGATAACCCTTGTTGACATGCGTGTAGAGACCCAAGAGCTACAAAGAGAACAGATATCGACAAGCTTAGTTCACAGCTACACTACCAACATTTATAACTATCCAATAACATCACACCAATATCTTTTGCATGAGAATGAAAAGTAGGAACTGCACTCCTCCATGAAAAACTATCGCTACAATAATCAGAGAAAGCTTGAACTTGTAGAGCCACTAAGGGAAATTCGTCTTGCAGGTGAGGAGACAAACCAGGTGAGTGCTGACTTGGAGAGCAATATCTCTCAACTCGGGTTTAATCTCCAGAGAATGGCTGCCCACATCAATGCGGGATGATGCAAGAGCGCTTTTTGATGCTTCATTCGGCGGCTTGAAAGATAACAGGGTGTTCAAAAGCCACCCATGATTTGCTTTCAGCTTTTCAACCTGCAAAATTAGACAATAACAGGAAATTGTCAAGTTTACGAAATAGTTCGACCTTCAGAAACAGCTATAAATGTTGCCAAAAACTCAAGCAATTTCATAGAACCAGTTACAAGTAGGTGATATTTAAATAGTGAAAGTATATAGCCTGATTTTCAAATGTTGCAGCTAAATCACACACTTCAAATCCAACAGCGTGGAAGTTATATATTTCTACAGATCATAATTGCCAACAGTCAAATTCGCACACACAACCACCCAATGATTTATAATACTTCATCAGATGCTTGTTTGATACTGCATTCCACTTGAACAACTCCACCCGCTTCCCAACTCAAATCCAGTACATACTGGAGTATAGGGTTCAGGGTTTAAGTAATCGGGTCTACATTCTCAAAACCTAAGTCAAGCAATATTGCACAAGTGTTTTACTGGTCTTGCGTCCTTTTTAATACTCAAATGTGACTGGTGACAAAAATTCGACAAAGGAGTGCTCTTGCGTATTGGAGAGGGCAGCCACTGCAGCACTAGCTGATAACCTCTTCGATCGCAACCATGAAGGTCAAAAAGAAATCAAACCATGTTTTCATGACTTAGATCGAATCAATGACGAGCGATACTCTGACCAGCGATCCCCTCACAAGCGTTTCAGAATTTAGGGCATTTGCAAAACTCACCAACTGAGCTTCGCCCTCGGAATTACCCCTTTCCACGCCCACTGTCCCGTGTGCATCAACTAAGCCACAGTTGTCCAACTCGTAAAACACCGTAGTGTGAGGTTCCCACCATAGCTCTCCACTCACCGCTTTCGAAGCTGCTTGCTCAATAGCCCTTGCAACACTCGCCATTGCTCCCCGATAACAGCTCCTTGGGAGAAGCCTCAATCCAAATCCCCTCTCACTCCATCAAACACCCTCTCTCACTCGCACCGTCACGGTGATTGACTAAACCTACCTTTTTACCTACCTATCTACCTTTCTTTCTCCCAAGCTTCTGAATCCAACCTACCGCCACAACAGTCAACACAGCTCCAAATTATCATGGAATGCGAACAATGCGAGAGAACTACAGCCTCACGACGCAAACCAGGAACCAAACCCTATTTCGGTTACCCCTCTCCCTCTCCCTCTCGCTCTCTCACACTCACACACTCACTCACTCACTCCCTTACTTCCTTGCTGCCTGGCTGGTCTGGTTGTGAAATCTAAGAATGGCGCAACTCAACTCAACGCAACTCAAACGAGTAGTCATGGTCAGAAATTAGAAATAATCTGTCTGTCGAAGGAAAAGGAAACGAAAGGAAAGGCTCAAGGGTGAGTGAGATGCAACGCCCCCCGTTTCGACCCCAACACAAAGAGCGGGGAAGGAAGGAATTTCAATACTCTACAACTCAGGAGTACGTTAGTTGTACTTGTGTATTATGTTGCAAGAAAGTTTTGTAAATTGAAGGCTTTCTAAAAGACTTACAAATCAAGGTATTAGAGAAAGCTTCTTGCAATACTAATAATAGTTATAATAATAAACATCATGCAAAACTTGTTGAATAAACTACCAATTAGTTAATATAACTTATTTTTTATACTTTCTTATGAGAATATGTAAAATTTTATTTATTTTTATTCCAAATAATAAGTACGAGAAAATAAGTGATTTTTCAAATTATTTGAAAGTCTATGTATGTAACAAAACTTTGATACCAAATTAATATCATTTCATTCAAAAGCAGTCATTTTGTATAATTTCAAGATATTTAACATTTATTATTATGTTGATTGCTACAAAAACATTAAGGATGAATTGTAAATCCCCTAATTATAATGCCATGACAACATTATCAGTAGTAAATAAATGTTTTTTTTTTTTTTTTTTTCCACAAAACCACTACAAATTAATTTACACAGTTGAATAAAAAAAAATTATTGAAATAGTTGGAACTGCTTAGGAATAAGATTTTAACAAACATAAAGCCTGTTGCTTCAAAATATTAACAAAAAATGAAATAATGGTAAGTTTACAAAATACAGAACAAATAAATAAGATTATCTCTACCTCATTGTATTCATATTAAAAAAGATGTCGTTTTAATCCAATATAATTGGAGCAAACACGATTACACTACACTTGGGATGAATGCAAAAATTATGTTGAATCATAGAAGAAAAAGAGGTATGAATCAAAGTTCAATCAAAGTTCTATGCAACTATTGAAAATTAGATTTTTGTTTTACTTTTTTATTTTTCCTTCCTTTCCCCTTATGTTTTTTCTCTCCAAAATATTTTAATAATTTTTAATAAAAAATTCACCTAGTATTCTACAGCTGCATTGTCACTTCCTATGATAAAAATTCAACAAAACATTTATACTATACATTCTACAACTAAACATGATGTAGTCAACTGAATATTCAATCGACATAAATACATTGACAATTTCAATCTTTGGATGTGAACTCAATTGAATATTTATGAAATGAACTTCAAAAGTGTAGGAATGAAGCTAAGCTCAATTGCAGCCCATAGCCAAAGGTGGACTTCAAGAGTGTAGGTGAAACCTGATATCTTTAATATATGAGACTACCTAAACCATAGTTGAGACACCCAACAAGAGGAATTGCAACACTTCGTGAGCTCGAAAAATATCACAGCACTTGCTGCAAATGACCGATTCCCTGCACCAAATTCCTCACGTTCTCCAATCTGCAAAATTCTGCATCCACCTTCTTCAGCTTCTGCAGACTCAGACAACACTAAGGAACAGAGTGATTTCGCAGATGAGTAACCTGACTGATGTCCACAAAGATAGGCTCGGGAAAAACTGGGTCACCACACGTCACGCATCCAATATCCCCACTCTTGCCTATCATCTTCATGACTTCTCTTCTTGGGATCAGCGACCAAAAAAAACATTTGTGCGCTGCGGATTCGAGCTGCATTGATACTGACTATACGTCGCTTTCAAACCGATGCCAGACATCACCATGACTTGGAACGCCTTACACTAGAAGCACAAGGTTTGTAGTTCCGAGTACTGATGAACACAAGATTTGACAAAAATACAACATTTGTGATAGCAATTTACTTGTCAATACTAATGTTTCCACTTGTCAAACTCATTTATCCAAATATGCAAAAACGGTACAATCACAGGTCCTTGGCATCTAAACCAGCTAATCAACTGCCTCTATCAACATTTTCCTCAACAAATTCCAATTGGATCATGTCGAAACAACGTAAATCGTGTTGGTCACACTACTTGCTTTCATCCCATCGGAGGGTCCACAACCGCTCATTGTAACAACCCTCCACAAGTACGAGAACCACGAACTGCTCAAACCATGCTGATAAGACGACATATCTCTGCGGAACTTGCAAACCCCCTCGTGATTCGAGGAATCTAAAAATAAATATCCAATATACAGCAATCTTGGTGCCATGACTACACATGCAACCCCCAAATGTGGGTCATCCGAACTAATTGTTCCCAACACGCGATAGGCTTCCACTCCCCCACTCTCCAAGACCACCTAACGATTCCTACTCATGACGAACAAAAATTACAATCATCTCCACCTACAGACTTTGACATCTGTCGTATGTAAATCAGTTGATTAAAAAACTATGTCCCAACATCCGAAATGCAACATCTAGAATGTGCCTGGGAGATACCCAGACTACAAAGCAGGGACAACCAGGGAACTCGCCTTGCACCGAAGCCTCCTACTTTCCCCACAAATGACTATAACTTCTACACAATCGTCGAGGCGTGTACAAGAGACATCATGCTAAACGAACGGTGTTTGGATTGCTCACACAAAGCTGGAGCAAACGAATTCTGCATTTGTCCTGTTTCCTCTGCCCGCTTCCAGCGGCCCCGACGCATGAAGCCATAGCTGCAGTCCAACGTCACCATATATATAGTGGGAAGGAGAGAACAACCCCTCTACCCCCTCCCTATTCTGCGATTCGCTTAACTACTTGAGAACCGCCTCCTTAGCGGGGAAATCAGTACCCTGCCATGTGTCTGTCTGGGTTGGATCGCCCTCCCATACCGCCATGTCGTTGCTCCCGAAAATGACGTAATAGAGCTGAGGCCTGCACAATCATACCAATCACCGCAGAGCTCGTCAGCCCATGCCATCCCTAAACACACACTTAATTCATCTTTCATCCGTGGCATGAACAGGTTGCCGAAATCCCACTATGAACGCCCTACTACAAACACGGCACCTGCGAGAGAAAGTTCCCTACCTTCTCCTTAGCACGAGGAGAGCCCGATTGTGACAAAGCTACCAGCGGAGGAATTGCCCCTTCCTGCAAAACCAACGCGCGGTGCCTATGACTGTTCGTGCATAGCTGAAGGAGAGCTGCAGCTGCGTTCTCCTTCCCCCTTAGCGAACCTGCTTCCACCACTTCCACCAGAGCCGGAATACCCTGTTCTTCGCCAATCGCCTGTCTCCCTTCGGTAATCGTCGCCAAATTCGCCAACACCGCAACCGCTTTATCCACCATGCCTGCAGCTGGGTCCGCCATCAGCTCCACCAGCGGTTTGATGGCCCCGGCTTCGACAATCCGTCCTTTGTTCTCATGATAAATAGACAGATTGAAAAGGGCTGTCGCAGCATCCTTCTTACCCCGAGGACTCCCGTTAATGAGAAGATGAACCAAAGGAGGAATGGCACCAGATGATCCTATCGCCACCTTATTATCGTCCATAACCGACAAACTGAACAACGTCGCTGCCGCATTCTCCATCGCCTCTGCATTCCCCACCCGCAGTACGTTCACCAAAGGTCCTATTGCACCGGCGCGAGCTATTTCGGCCTTGTTGTTATCATTGATCGAAAGATTCAACAATGCCGTCACTGCGTTCTCCTGAGTTTTCCCATCCTCAGAGCTCAAAAGCGCAACCAGCGGTTCGATTGCTCCCGAATTGGCGATAGTCACACGATTCTCCATGTTGTATTTTGCCAGCATCCGCAGCTCGCAAGCTGCCTGGCGCTGCGTATCAATGTCCGGCGATTGAAGATCCTGCACCCATTTCTCCAAGTCCGATTGGACTGTGCTGTCAGTTCCCGAAGTATTGTCATGAACAATTCTAGGAAGGCTGGCATCCCTATCCACCCCGCGTCGCCCAAACGTGGACCTCTCTGGTAGCCTTGCTGGTGACCCTGGCTCATCGTTAAAAAAGTTGCCACCGCTGCCACCACTCCCACCCCGGCTGAACGACCCGCTTCCGTTGCTGGACGTCATAGGTCGGGAGTGTCCAGCAATGTCCGGAGTGTCCGGATACCTTTCATGAGCAACCTGGAAAGGGTCCCCCGGAGTGACAGGCAACTGTATTACAGATGCCGTAGGTCCATCTTCCACACTAGAAGCTACACTACAATTTGATCCCGTCCGAGAGTGCGAAGGCGGAAGATAATGTTCAACTGCATGAGCACTTTGAGATCTTTCCAGTGAATTTGTCCCTTCCAAGTCGCCGGTAAGTGCTCTCGGAGGGCTCTGATCGCTCTGGGAAGGTTCCCCCTCGTCCCCGCCTACGCTCAAACTCCTCACCCTGTCAGCCAACTCCCCGGAACCGCGAGCATTGTTCAACCGCGAAGCACCTGACCTTTTCCTCCCCAACCCGCGAAAAGACGAGAAGAGAATCGGCCCTCTACTAGCCCTTGGCGTCATACCCGTCGGACTTGCCAAATCTGAATCCGAGTCTGACTTTCCAGCTGCCCCGGGAGACGGAGGCTGCAGGCTGCTCGAGTAAGCTCTCAACTGCACAGGTCCCGGAGCTGGCACTCCGTATGTCTCACACCAGTTGGCTATCAGAGCTTTCACAGTGTAATTAGGAATCAGGTTCCTGTGAGATAGCTTCTGATGAGTTTTCGGGCAACGTGCGTGCCCTTCATTCAGCCAGTGCTGGATGTAAATCCTTTCGTACGTCTGACCTGACGCCACGATCACCGGATCCGACATCAAGTCTCCCGAGAGAGGACATCTGAAATCAGCAGGAATTTCTAGTCCTTCTACAGCTGCGCCTTCCAATGACCCCTCCATCTGCTTCATCAACTGCAATGATCGCCCGATTAGCTACTCCGATCAATCCTCCTCCACGCTGGCTTCCGCTCTGCTCTTCCCCAAAGCCTGCAACCGCACAATAGTGTTCTGATGCGCACTCGGACGCAATCCCCAAACGCACCTCGGTAGAATCCGATAAATATTTGACTCCAACTCGTGAGTCACTGGTTCCACCCACAAAACATTCTCTCGTGCGTGTAAAGGTTCCCAGCTTATACACTCTAGCCATGCTTCATGTACGTTTAAAGAGAGATACGACTCTAAGCAAAGTGATTTTTTCTAATAAAAACCGAAGTGCACTGGGCAGGGGTTGTACCTGTGGGCACGTGTGATCTGAAACTCGCAGAGACACCAGAGGCAAATTGTTCAATGACTGATAGTTCTCCAAAGTCACGCCCTAGAACTTGCTCAGTAATATTTGAATGCGAATATTCTGCGCATTCAGGGCGCATGTTCCATGAGCCCAAGCCAACAACTAGTTGTGTGGAGGCACGAGAGAGGACTCACACCAAACCATCATAGCATCCAGTTAAATGGGCTACAAAACCGCCAAATGAAACTGATAGGGCCATATAGTTACCCGAATATTGGAAGGCTGTTACAGATATAGGAGAATGTCATTAGTAGATCCCGTAAATCAAAATCGTCAACCAAATCCTCAATCACGTTGCACTCATCCAACCATGCTCAGACCAACAAAAACATTCTGACCGTAAGAAATACATGCAAACTCTTCTGCTGCAGATAATTGTACCACCGTACGGATCAAGACAAGCAAGCCGTAAGAACGTGTAAAAAAAAAACATGTAGGCATCAGTGCTACTCTTTAAAAAAAATAACACCCTGAAAATCTGATCTATCCCGATCCCTTGAACAAGGGTCCTCGTAGCTGGGATGAACCGCTTGAAATCGATGAGGCACCAACAACGACTGCGAAGTAGGAAAAACATCTCACGTCGATGTAAGCGTCCGGCCAAAATGGTGCCTATAAATTCACTACAAAAAGATTGCAGAAGCACGTAATCGGGGAAAAGTTGCTTCAATCCATCGTACGCCTTCACAAAACTTTCCCCTCCCCAAGCAGCATTTCTAATGTGGTACGGTTCAACCCTGATGTGGAAACACAAACCTATGTTTACGGAGGCAAAAAGTGCGAGCACAAGAATCGGGAACTGAGGAATAATCCAACGATAGTAGAAAGTTTCGAGAAGACGCGTCTTCCAACCTTGGGTTTTTGGCACACTCAATTCATCCACATCCAGTAAAAAATGGCATTCTTTCGCAGTTAGTGTCACCACTCAATTAAATCAAGGTGCATCACATGCGCCGAGAAACAAGCATTGAGATAGACTAAGGCGAATACTGTTAACTCTAGTGCGAACCTCACGAGCCCTTTGAGTCTGGATTTTAAAAGATGCGTTTCCACACCACGAGCCTCGCTATTCCGGGAACAAAATCAGATACTTCCGACTTCGCAGAGGAACCGCATGAAGATCCACTAGTTTATAGGGTATCAAAGGTGTCGGGTGTCGGTAACTGGAATCCCCACGCCGGGTCCCAGCATGCCCTCCAATTCCAACCCCGAAACCCCACGGCGCCAATGCCCCGTTCGGTCTGGCATCCAAATCGGCCACATCAACATTCCGTGTTTGGATCGCACGGCCACACCCAGAACCCTAACCCACCCAACCCACGACTCACCATGCAAATCTGGCTCCGGTCGGAACCTGCAGCGCTCAAGCAGAGCCTTCACCACCGCGCTCCACACTGCTCCCAACTCCCACCCGGCCACCGACGTTTCGCAGTCGCGGACCTCATCGAGCAAAGGCTGCGAGAGTCGCAGTCGCTCCAGGGTGCATCAGAGGCAGGTGGCCCACTCGCACGCAACGCGTTCGCCCACCAAAGCGGCCTGGTCGAGGAGCTCAACAAGCGCACTGTACTGATGGTCGACAACTAGATTGATGTGGCTGGTGTGGAAGCAGTGGGACCCCGAGACACGGAAACGGCGTCGGTGCAGCAGAGCACTCCATGGACTAAGGGTAAAGTGAACGAAGGTTGAAGACCGAAGAAGAAGAAGAAGAAGAAGTTTCGAAGATGCACCGCAGAGCTTCCCACTCTTCCGACGCCCCGTCCCACCCCACCCCACCCCTGGCTCGGATTCGGCTGCCCCGAGTCAATCTCGCACGCAGACATAAAACCTCGCACTCGTCGGCCACTCCACTCAACTCTCCCGTCTGCCCCCGTCCCTCCAGGAAATGGTAATGCTGTGTGCACCGTGGGGACTACTGTGCACGGACCCCTCCCTGACTGGGACGACGAGGCCGACGGATGATTCCGACCGCGCTCTCCGTTGGCATTACTGGTGGGGCAAGCAATCATTGGAGCCACCTCCAACTCAAGGACGGACGGACAGACGGATGAACAAACTGGTGGACGGACGAATAGTGGATGACAACTGATTGATGGATGATATACAGACTGGAGGGACGAATGGTCGCTTTTTCATCCGTAAGGCGCGACACCGTGCGTAGATGAACAACGATGAATGTGGACAGGAAACGAAAAAGCGAATGGTCTAATCTTAGACGCAGGCGATTGATTAAGGACGGGTTTAACTGGGTAGAGGTTCATGGAAGCAATGCTTTGAATGTGAATTAACTATACGTAAATGGGCATGGGCAAGGTTCGATGGGCTGTGTGATGCTTTTCACTGCTGTACATTCGTTGTGAGCTTGGGTGGTATTTGTCTTGAATAGTTGTGGGTTTTGCTACGTTTGCACGATTTCAATGGTGAATTTTTCTTAATCTTATTAATTCATCGAGTTTGAAGAAATGGCTGCTAGCTCTTACAAGCTGAAACTGTCATCTTGGAATAACTATGAGATTCTCTGCGTGGTTTCATACCAGTTGGTATATTTTCCTTGTTCACCTAAAGCCGATAAACAATGAAATTATTATTATTATGAGATTGTTAAAAAAAACATGTAAGTTTGTGAGATTGGAAAATGCATTATATTCGTATGACATTGAGTGTGTTCATTTAAATATATAGATAGATAGATAGATAGATAGATAGATAGAGAGGTAGATATTGTTTAGAAAAAAATTGAATCTTTTTCTTCTTCTCAAATCAATTTAATATGTGGACATACATTGGCACAAAGGCAATGTGCAAGCAACATGTTCATGTTGACAAATTGATACTGTATTATCACAACCTTACAATATAATTTTGTTAATGTTTGATTCTATTTGTAAGACTTTTGCCACCTTTCCATAACTGTTTGCAGCTATAAATATGATAAGATTACAATTACCATTATTCTTTAAAAAGTCGTACAAATGTATCATAAAACATTTATAGAACATTTGATAACAAGCATGTATTGAAATGATTTATATTTATATTTTATTTATATTTTATTTTATTTTCTCTCTCTGCTAGTCTTAAAAACAAGTTATATTGGAAGACTTTGTTACAAATAGAGTTTTCGAGAGTTTGGATGGCATGTAATTCCGAGCTAAACTTACAAATAAAAATATTATTTGATTTAAGGTGACACAAAAGGTGTTATCAATTCAATCAACTGGTTTATGAGTCTTGTTTGTTATATGACTCACGAGGAATTTTAAATCTGAGAAAAATCATCAAGGATATATATATAGAGTTGATTTCGGTTATTTCATTTGTCTTCTTTTTTCATTTTTATCTTCTACTGTGATGTCAGAAAAGTATACATTGACATGTAAAACGATCAATTTTTAGTATTTATTTTCCTTTCTTTCTCTCTGTAACATTTTCAAAAATTTCACTATTTGTTGCATTCATGGTGTATACATTGGTTCCAATAATTTCATACACTATATAGACTACATAAATGCTTTTAAAAAAAATATGGATATTTCATTGTATTTCGAATCATATATATACATATTTCATTGTATTTCAAATTATATATATACATATGTATATATATATATATATATATATATATACACATAAAAACTTATAAATATAAATGACATTGAAAAGCTATCATATTTTAATAAATAACAATGAATGGATGAAAAATATTCAAATTGGAACAGAATGTTCAACTCCAAAATTATTGCACAGTAATCATTAGTATTTAAATAAAGTTTTGATGCATGATTCAAATAATATCAACTTGAGGCTTTTTTGTGGTTTTGATGGTAAATATATTGAATACATATGTATTTACTAAAGAGTAAAAAGAATAAAAAGATAAATAAAATTGATATTTAGAAAAGATGCATGATATGTAGCAATAATTTTCTTAGTGTCGTTATAATTTACTTCATGTACAATACATTTTCGCATTTTTATTTCTTTATTTTGCTAGCTTACTTGATGCAGCAACCACACGTTTGACAACATCCAACCCAATATTAGAATTCAAAACATTCAATACTCGATGTCAGCAGCACAACGGAATTATTTATTTAGTTTTTTTTTATTATTTTCATTATATTTATTTATTTAGTTTTTTTATTATTATTTTCATTATATTTATTTATTTTTATCTTGAATATACGTTCTACTAGTAGACTGCGACTCTATTAATTCCTCTTTCAAACGCTTCATAATTGCCTAAGATGAAGGATCCAAAAGCAGCCACAGTGTAGCTTTCGCAACAAATCATTCTAAAAATAATTACCATGAAAACTAGAGGAATCCTAAAAATTCCGCAAAATTCCTTTAAGAAACCTTGAACAGTGCTCACAGTACCCTTCGTAAAAAACTAATAAAATAATAGTAAGGAGAACAATCATTCTCTGAAACCCAAATTTAATGCACCATGCTCAAAGGTAGAAAAAAAAAACATATGAAACAATAAACAATAAACAACAAAAAAATAAAAACGAACCCAAGAACGAACGTACGAACCGACGGAAGGATGAATGAACATAGGATGATCCCATCTAATATTCACATTTATCGTTATTGCCCGGTCAACGGCGGAAACTTCGCCGGTGTGAACGTGCACCGCCGGCGTTGACATGGAAACTGAATGAATCGAGGCACCAGAATCAAACGGTGAAGGTGGGGTGGGGGAATCGCTGCAAAGGTGTAAATTTGACTAGAAAAATTGTCACCCAGTTACGCAGAAGGGCCTCTATTAAGTTACTTGAGATCGGCCCAGTTGCAGTGGCAGATTCACGTGCCATTCTACTTCCTGAATCCTGATTTTTCCCATGCCGAGGAATCGGACCCTGCCGCAGTGAGAGAGTGCCTAAAGGCACAATTCAGACCTAGTCCGCCGACTTCCATCACTCACTAACTCTCACTCTCATTTACTCACTCTCACTCACACACACCAGTTTCCATCTCCAGCTTCTTCATCTCCACAAGCGTGGCGATTCCTCGCCGGTCCACCGGAAGTTTCCATGTTAAGCCCCCAAGGACTGAGAACTGTTCAACACGAAGCTCTGACACGGTAATTGAATTCGTGAATATGCTGATGGGGTGTTGAAGCTGGGTGGGGTCGGGTGTTGGCGAACCCCCGACTAAGGGTATTGCCCACATTAGCCCGTCGCCGGATATCACTGCAGGTTTCATCCTTCCGTTGCTACTGCTTTTCTTATTCTTCTCCTTTCTTTTTTCTTCTATCGGGTAATGAAGCAATCTGTTCTGGGTTCCGGCATTTGGAACAGTTTCGCTTTGACCCACTTTGCGGAGTCGTTGTTCGTGTTGAGTCGGTTATGCAGTGGATGAGTTTTTGGTGTGCAGCGTGTTGAGGTTGTTCTCCTGCCGAGGAAGAGGTTGATCTCAATTATCTTTGCTGTGGTGATGCTTTTTCTTATATCTTTTGTTGAGGTTCACTTCATGGAGCTTATTAAGGAGCTGTATGTTATCCATGATTGAACGTGTGAGACAGTTAGAGTTTTTGTGGATTCTTGGTGCGAAGTACCCCAGAGTACACTCAAGGCAAGTTTGCGAGCTGAAGGTACAGTTTAAGAATCGTAGTGTCGGGTCTGCTGACTGTATCCTTAGCTACAGTCTGTTCTTGAAGCCTTGGAAATGAAGCAGACAACAAATCTCCTGCTTTATATATATATATATATATCTATATCTATATATTTGCATGAGTGTATTTATCGTGGTTGTAGTACCTATATGCACTTTTCAAGTTCTGTAATTTTGGCTATCGCGATGTCGTTTGTCATCTTCTTTGCTACCGGTAATGTTGCAGGAATTGGAGCATACCTCTTATCCTATGCACCAGTTTAGGGCTTCGTGTGAGACCAGCAACATACTTATCTCGTTTCTGTCCTTTTAGAATCTGTATATACTTAAGTTTTTCATTCTTTAATTCATTTGGGTAGATTTTTTGGGATGGGTGGGGTTGTGTGTTTGCAAGAACTAACAACGCTTCGTTTAATGTGCAAATTGAGTGACAATCTGGGACTTGCTTCGTTTATAATCCTGCTTATAGATCTGCGCCAGGAATGTCTGGTGGGTTACATATCCACTTTTCTTCTAGCAATTTAGTTGTTGAGCTAAAACTTTCTCGAAGTACATTCACCAGTAACACAGGTTTACGGATGTTGAGGAAGGGGCAGCAGTTTAAAATCTGGTTTAGATCAATTATGCATAAGAATTTGCTTTTTTCTTATCAGGTTAAAATTTTAATTTAAAGTTCTGTCTGGAATTACTCTGGGGCTTTTTCCACAACCTTTTCATTTGAGGAAACTTGATCCCTTTACAGCTTTGCTTGGGTGTTTGCAGTATGTAGCAGGTTGTTATCTCCTACCAGTTTCTTGCATTGCGGGTACTGCATGTTTGTTAGTATAATTGTGGTACTTACGGGATTTCTAACCACGTTGCAGTTTACCGGGTGCTGCAAATGCAGGTAGCAGTTGAAGTGCTGGTGCTTTAGGCAATGCTCTTCTCTGACTTGAATTGGTCTCTGTGTGCTGTAGTAACTAAGCATGAGAAAGCCTGCAAGGTCACTAGCTATCACAAGGTTTGCTCATTACCAAGTGACCCCTGCTTGTGGTGTATGTTCAAAATTAAGAAAAAAATAACCGATACGGTCAGAAGTCCATTGCTAGCTTCATAACTTGCTGATATGTGGTGTAAATTTTCTCTTAATAATCCTCGTGATGTCATTGTTTAGGGGACTAATTTTTCTAGATGGAATTCCAGGTGAAACTTTATTCTAAACCTAAAAAGCAAATCGTATGAGAACAATTGATGTGAGTATAATCATGGAATTCCAGATGTAAACTATGAAGGGTGAGATGTTGTATTATATTTACTATCAATATACTATTTGAATCTAAAAGTGAGCTAATGTATTCTTTGGTTGACTTTCATTCTGTCTTCGTCGATTCGTTCTGGCTGTGATGATTATCCTTTCTCTAAGTCTTTAACACTGTGTGAACTCACAAGCTGAGCATATTGTTCGCATGCCTCTGTAGCATGCGCTTTGCTATAAGTTGTTGAACTTTAGAAATGATAATGATATTGGAAGTCATGTTGTTTAAGTTCGGTTCTCACAACTGCTAGGCAAACTCAGAGAAAAGCAACTACCCGTCACAGTTGGAAAACACAGACAGATGAGTAGGTTTACTTTGATAAAATGCTTCTATGTAAAGCATGTTAAAAGACATATACATTTGACCTTAGCTTAGAGCAGAGTATGCTATCACCTGCATCGGTCTCGGACTTAACAATTTCCCATTTCTTTACATCCTTGAGCAGCTGTAATCAGGAATAACAGGTTGCCGATGTCTGCTCCAGCATCTGTTCCTGCAGCTGTGGCAGAATCTCAAAATGTCTCTTTGACTGCTTGGAGTGGTGTGACTCGTAGCAACGGGAAATATATTGAGGTTACTTCACCAGCCATTTCCACATCCACTTCTTAAGTCGCTGATTCTCCAAATTAGAGTGGTGTTGTTAGTGTACCATTAGGTCACACATCTGTTGTTGATGCCCAAAGCTTCTCAGCCTTAGCAACTCTGGTCCAGGACGCCGAAGTCAGCATTTGTGCAGTTACCGTCTCCTGTGCTGTATCCGTGAGCACCTCCGTCACTACGTTTTGCAATTCTTTGCTGAATGGACAATTCTCCCTCCATATGGTTTCTTCCGTAAGCAATGATAGCTGTAATGGGCCTGTTATTGAGGATTAGTATTGATAGTGTAAATGCAAAATTTAGAGAACTCGCACGTATACAATCATAAAAGAGGCAGTGTTGTCGTAACGATATCATGATTTTTTTTGTCTGATGTCTACGCTCTCACTATTGTTAAAAGAAGTTCTGTTACCTATCGTTGCTATAAGCTACATTTTGATGAAGGTAGCTTCATACATGGTCATCTGTATTCTTGTTCCAAAAAACTATCAAGTCCATCATCTCAGCTTGAGGGTACACTAGTCTTCTTTTTAAACTGCTTCCATTGCGATTGTCCTGTGGTTTGTCCTATTCAAAGTGAATGAATGCCCATGATTGTTACCACTTCTTGTTGTGACCAAATCTTACTTTCATAACAATGTTTACAGAACATATTCTTGTTGGCCAAGGTTAGGGATAGTGGGGGTCTCTCGGTGCGCCAGGCTCCAGTTACCATGGCTGGATGGGAATTCTTGAGGATGGAAGTGGAGCATACAGGTTTAGGGTTTAGAAGCTCTCTGTGCAATCTTCAGGGCCTCCTGATAAGCTCTCTGTACAGTCACCTCAACAATTGAAGCAGAATCAATGTCCACAGCAGCAATTACCATTCAAACCACACCATCAACAACAGCAGGTACTAAACCATAGCATATTTCACGACTACTTTCTCTAGGGACATCAGCTCTATGCAAAAGTGTGAAGATGGGTTTGTTTTTAATAGGTGTTGTTTATATATTTACGTAAGAATGTATCATTAATCTTCAAGACATGATCGTATTACACTTCTAAATCTATCTGAATTGAGTTTTGTGTTTAGTCACAAATACTGCAATAGCTACAACTGCAAGCACTACAACATGGACTGCAGCACCCACAATTGCAACTTATTCAGGTTTTATGCCAGAGCTTCATGTGATCCTCTATCCTTGTAATAAAAATATGATGGAGGTCAATTTATTTTTCACTTGAAATTGTTTGTATATACAGGTGGAGTCACGTTGTGTATATAAACGCTGTGATTTTTTGTTCACCATATTTTTATGAAGTCTCATTAGATTAAAATGATTTATGTTTAGAAGCAAGCATAAAGACTTTGCTTTCAGCCACGTTCAAAACAATTACAAAAATGCAAGTGTTTTTCACTAAATTTGTTGAACATATTTGTGAAGTTTTGGGGTTAGTATGTTCTTTAAGAAAGTCACATAGGTTTTAAAGTTTTAGTTTTTTAGCATGAGAATATAGATTCAAATATTTCATCATAAACCTTAGTCATAAAAAATGTATTCTAATGTCGCAATCTAGACATAGTAAAATAAAATAAGGACGTTGCTAATGTTATTATAACTTGTTATTGTTAAGGACTAGAATTTGATGAATGCAAATAAACAAATGAGACATTCTTATATATATATATATATATATATATATTATCTAATTATAGATTATTTGGTGATGTTCTATAGGATTTCCAACATGTGTCTCATTTATAAGATAAGTTTTTTATATGTGCATCATATGTCTACTTTGTACCACAAGTCACCAACATGTACAACATGTGACCAACTTGTTGACCAAGTTTTTAAACTATCAATCACCTATAGATGTGTATAAAGGCAAAGTCATGTTGTACTTATGAAGCCTCTCTATAAGATACTATCAATTATTTATTTATTTATTTTATCTATTTTTACTTAGTGATATTATCTTGGTAATTATTAAAGTAAATATGGATATCTGTCATAGTCATCTATTTCACTTATTTTTTTTAGTTTTTTTTTATGATTTTAATTTTTTTGACTAAAATTTGATTGAAAATTTTATAGGATTGTGATAGCAATTGCAAAAGCTGCAGTGGTAGTAGCAATATTTTAAAATACTTCATTATTCTTTTGGTCCACACATGAATTTAAAAAAAATTAAGCATCCAATGTAAAGATCTATATGTAAAAAAACATAAAATTTGTTACTTATGAATATTATAACTAAATTGTGCATGAATTTTATAAATCTCAAAAAAAAAATTATAAATAAATAAATATACATATATGTATATACCTAATATTATTAAATATTCATTAACATAAATACTTATTTTCTTACTTTGTTTCTCAGTATGTTATTTTTAATTTATAATATTTTTGTGGTTTTCTGTTTTGTGAGAATACATAAATAATAAATACATAATTTTCAAACTACTAATTATTTTGGCCATATTTAGTACCAGATAAATAAATGTATGTATATTCTAAAAATTCTTCATTCTGACTTTGTGATAATGGCTTTGACAAGTTGAAAACAGAAATTATAAATGAAATGTAAAAATAGGATGTAAATGCTTCAATTAGTGAAGTAAGTTCACTGAGAATTTGTAATACATGCACGATCCAATTTTGCAATAGATACACACCAAATGTCCATAACGATGGTGAAGTATGATAGATTTGGTGTAAAAAGAAAACCAGATCAAAACCAAAATATTATGTAGAACCGAAGTCTGGAATATAAAAAATATCCCTCACTACTAAAATTGCTGAATTATTGTAGGTAAATATATTGCATTGTTTGAACTATATTTCCCTCAGCAAATGAAGAATAGAGCACAATTTACATTTTTTTCGTTACATCCAAAAATACACTTGGTTACCTCATACAATATCCAAACATAAGAAAAGTTGAAAAGAATCAGTAATATCACCCCGTTCCGACATCAATGACTAATGATTGCATAATAAAATAAGATTATAGTACGTTGCAACTCATCTGTCCAATATCAAAATCATGCATTCCTAGTCTTTCTTCTGATTCCATTGACAAAAACGCCAATCCATTACCTTCAGGACAACTAGGAACCATCCAACACAAAACTATCATACTTCAAATATTTATCTTCCAATCTAACGGAGTTTCATAGGAGAAACGTTTAAGTAGGGTATGACTAAAACGGCGTCAAATGAACACAACATAAGCTAGTTGAAGACTTCCAGGAAACCTAGAGGATTCTAATATTGAAATACAATATCATTCATGGTATGTGCAATAAACACACAATTGTTGGGTGTAGCAGACAAGAGTAATCCATTTGCAGAGGTCAGCAAGTTTCAAAGTTCAAGGAAACCCTAAACCCTAAATCAACTCTACATGTTTCCCAGCGTATTCCTTTATACTATTCAGAGGCACCACAAGGCAGAAGTCAGGTTGGAACCACATGCAAATTGCTCACACTCTACAGTACTACATTTTACACATTCAACAACACAAAGAAAACGTATATGGGATTTATGAGGCGATGAAGAAGAAACAAACTGCCAAAAATGGAATTTATTGAAGTACTTTTGCAAAAATGAACTTCAAGCTGAACATCTCCTACTGAAGAGAGACCTTGAAAGAAAGGGCAGTAAGTAGATGACCTCATCAATGGTCAATTGTAGACGAGTTTTATAAAATGGTTGAGTTCCACCAAATGCTGGATTAACACGTGGAGAGCCAGATCAACAAGAAAATATCACTGCAGAAATGCTCTACCTCTACTTGTGATAGGGTACATGCGACGGTATCGAGTCGTCATCCTCAATAACCTCTACCTTGTAACCCTCAGGGACCTCCCAGGGTTTCCACTCAGCCATCTTTGGGATAAGCTGCAACTCGTCTTTAGCTTGCACAATCAACTCCTCTACTTGCCCACCCTGAATCCTCTTCTCAATGTTTTCCCAATCTTGTTCTTCTTGACAAACCTAAGCAAAAAAAACAACATAAATTAGAAAAGAACGTCTGCTATTTGAATACACTCGCTCCACCCGTCACGCTATGCAAGACGTAGCGAATTCGCGTAAGATTCATGCAATTAGAATAAAGCACTTCTGTGCATGTCAACATCGAACACTAAGAGCACAAATCCAAGTACTATCAATGCACCACATCTCGATCCGGAAAAAATTTAGGAAAGCCACGACGAAGACCCCAAAACCCTAAAAGTCACCAATCCAACATCTGAGCATACCTTGAGCCTGTGATGAGTGAGCGCTTCCACCGACTTCCTGTACTGAGCCGACTCGGGGATGGGCTGCACAGCTTTGAGAGTCTGCTGATAGAGCGTGATGAGAACCTCCCGCGCGTTGGGGACAACATCCAGGCCTACAATGCCTGTGGACTCCTTGACGGAGGCTAGCAGCGGCCCTGCAATGCGCCTCAAAAACATGATGAAGCACCTGGTGAGGCTCCTACCCCGAAATGCGACAAATGCAACTTCTCCTCGTCGTCCTTGTCGTCCTCCTCTCCTCGTGAACCTCCAGCGATCACCCTCTCGCTTCCAACTGCGATCTCTCCCAGCTATGGCACTGCTTCCCCCTCTAGCCTCTCGCACAACACTTGGGCTTCCCTCGGGCAGCCCAGCGCCACCCCTTCGACCTTCCTTAGTCCTGCCCCCTGCCCCGCTTCAGGAACCCCTCTCCTTGTCATTCATCCATTATCGCACCATACATTCACTTAATTCATCCACATTCTGGTTTTCCATCTCGTATCTAACGTTCATCCATGTTCATCCACGGTTCATACATTCGTTTAGACATTTTCTTTTCATCCAGTCAACTATATATTTTTTACGATTTCCGATTTCATTCGTTCACTTCTGAGTTTTCGTGCCAACTTATAATATCTTGTAAACAGCTCATATTGGCATGAACACAACTATTCACAACGCGAGGTTTCGAAGTGATCAACTTCCACCTGAATGTTCATCAGGCGCAGTTCCTTAAAAGTTCTATCATATTCAGTGCATCAAAATCATACATGGACATTATCAAGAGCACTTCTATTGCATAATTAGATTGGAATTACTTGTTAAATATCACGATTCAAGGTCTGGTTTCCAACAATAACTTCATTTCAGCAACAGAGCGTGAGAAATTGACCTCGTGTCAGGACAGCTTCGGGATCTGCTTCAGCACGGGGACGGGTCAGGAATGCGGCACATTCGGGGCGGCAATGGCACGGTATTAGGGCCCAAAGTGAGGTCCCATAAGCGCGACACATGGCCAGGGGCGAACGGGACCGAAGCCTGGGAAGCTTGCAGGGCTGTGTGCAGGCAGCGGAGGCACCGCGTGTCGATTGGCGTTGCCGAATTGCGGAGCCAGACAGAGAATGGAACTGGGTTGCAGGCACAATTTTCCTATAGCTGAAAGGCTTTTGAATTCCTGGGGGAAAATCTGGGGCGACACGAGGCGGAACGCGACGATAGCCTGCCTAACTCGGGGCGATATCTTCCTATAATCCGTCGCCAGAATGGCTTTTTCGCACACTTTTGTTACCCCTGCCTAAAGCACTTCCCATGTTGGATTTGGTAGCGTTTCGACAATTTCGTGATGGGTACATGTAATGGTTGTGTGGGTTGGGTTGTGTTTTTTAGCTGGGCCCCTGCCTATTGTCCCATCCCTACTCGTGTAGATGGTGTGTTTTGCCTGTAGCGGACATTAGCTTGCGCTACGTGCTCGTGTCTCTTTGTCTGGCGGTTTGAGGACTTCGGGTGCTAGACCGAGGTCAATGTGGACTCTGTGATCCGGAGACATGTAGAGCAAGGACTTTTGTGGGATTGGTTCGGTTTGAATTTTAACAATCATGGAGAATGGAATGGGTTTGAGGTGAAGTTCTAGGCGAGTTCGATCTGCTAGTAACGATGGAGGTTGTCTACCTTTTTGACTTCGGTTGGGGTTGGATCGAGGCGGTAATTCAACAAGTGATGGGAGCATATTTGGATTGACATGTATGAATTCAACGCGGTTTGCAATTGCGTAAGGGATACTGAATTGTATACGGAGTTGACTGCCACTTTTGGCTCAAGTTTTGGGTAGCGGTAGATAGGTTGGTGTACAGGGTTTGATCATATATTATATTGGGCTCATTGGGATTTTCATGACATTGCGTTGTGCGACAGACCTGACGTACTGAATTCGTGATGGATCCGTCGAATAACATGTCCACCAACCTAGAGACGCCCAATTGTGGCACGTTCACGTGCTTACCTTCCTTCGTCGCCGGAATCGTGGGTCTAGCTCTAGTAGAATTTGTGCTCGTCCTGTATTTGCTGGGCAAGTTTTTGAAAGTGACGTCAAGACGAAGCACAACCGTAAGCTCGGACTTGAATTTGAATGTAAATTGTGAAGACGGCACTATCAGCCTTCAGGTTAATATTTCTTTACATACACTCTGTTTCGGAGATGTGGAATGTGCACTAGTGGCAATTGTTGGCGGTGCTTTTGGGTTTGCTATGTGCACAAGACGGGAAATCTTCATGCTCTTGTATGTATTTCTTAATTTAATCGGATACTATACACCCGATGCTCTATTTTTGCCTCATTAAGATGCAGGCTTTCAATGTGGTTGAATCTAGTGGAATCGAGTGTTTTGTTCGATATTAAATATGTGAAAATGTTCTTAGGGAAATGCATGGGTAGCCCCGCTTCCTAATGTCGATATAAGAAAAGTAGTCATGAGACAACCTCGAAAAGACAAGGACAAAGATGGCCAAAGAGAGGTTTTAAGAAAGGCTGAGGGCGCGAGAGGGGATTTATTAGAGATTGCTCCAATGCGGAGACGCGCCCATCTGAAGGGCAAAATTTTATTCTTGAGAGCAGCTGATGGGACTGAAGAAGAAGTTTTGCTCGAAGATTGTAAAGTCGTAGCAGTATCAAGTAGTTCAGAACCCAGCCGAAAATGGTATCTATCTTCGTGCCACATATTTACTTATGGTTTACTTACTCTTTTTTAGATCTTATTCAGGATGCGACTGACATCCCGTTGGTCACTTTTGAGGAAGAATAGTTGAGCTTCAGTGATATACACTTCTGCAATTGCTACGTTCCTATTCAGTAGTTTTCTAGGATTGATTGCGTATTTTTGGTCGTCATAATTAAGTTCCAAAAAGTGTTTGTTCTCTGCTGATTTTTGTGCATCTTGGGTGCATATATCCTTCAATTGCAGGGGGAAGAAGTTCCCAATTAAGTTACACCATCCAGACCGTGTTTTATATCGCGGGTGTAATCAGTTTCTATTCTTCTCAGAGACGGGATATGCGAAGGAAGCTTGGTGCGAAGCATTTCGAGCAATGGCCAGTAAGGAAAAAAGCGATTGGACCTTCTCGACGAAAAGGAGGTACAAGGAGTATACTCGCTTGGCTGAAGTAAACATGCCATATTTAATTAAGTTCAATGGGGCAGGTGAAGGTAGGCGTCCGAATGTGAAACAAAAGGAGGAGGTCGAAGGACATTCCAAGAAACGGATGATGTGGAAGAAGTTGACGCGGTACGCTTCATTTGGGAGGGACACCAAGGAGGCAAAATTTGTTGATATCATGGATGAAGTTCAGCGTAGAAAAGAACCCCAACAGCATAATAACAAGAACTGGAGAAACAAAGATGCTGATCTCAGTGACAAAAGCCACAGTGGCACCAACGATCTTTTTCAAGGAAGTGCAGAAGTTACTGATTCCGACATTCTCAGTGGTGATCCTTCTGAGCACCTCGGAAGTTTGGCAAGCAGTGAAACTGATGTGAGTGGTAATGAAGGAAGCAAACGCGGTTCTGAAAGCACACAGAAGGACTGCCGTCATGAGGTGCCTGCAAATCAGGATAAGGTACAGAAATCGAAAAATGAAAGGTCTGGCAAGAAGATCGAACAAGGAGTGCTTTGCCTGAATATGATTATTGCGAGGCTTTACTTTGACTTCAATCAAAATAAACGAGGGCTTGCAATTGTACATCGGTTTTTTCAGGTGCGTTTTTCTAATGTAATACTCTAGTGCGATCTGTTTGTTGCTGAGTATTTCTATTACAATTAATTTATTAAAGCTCTTATCGCATTCTAAGAAAATGCGTGTAGTGTATAGTCATTTATGGTCAAGCTCAACATATCTTGTATCTCCGCATAGATTTGATAAGTGAACAGTCTCTTAATTATCACTAGATTAAAATCTGCATATGGATATGTCCCAGCCTTTGTGGCATTCTTGTTAACGTAATGAACAAATAACCATCTGTCTACTGGACAGTAGTTCTTGGTTACATTACATAGCATGGGTTTCTCATCTTGGAATCCGTTTTATGTTCAGAGACTGATTATGAAGATAAGAATTCCAAGCTATGTTAAGTCACTCAACGTGAAGGAGTTAGACCTCGGGAAGCATCCTCCTTTTGCCACTGCCGTCCGTATGCTTCCCGCAGACGCTGAGGGGACCTTAGCTATGGAGTTAGACTTGGAATGGCATGGTGGAGGTCACCTTACATGTGAGACGCGTTTGGATTTGCGAGATCAGTCCGCACAGGAAAAAATTGCTCTTCAGTTGGCCGAATCAGGTTCAGAAAGCGATACTGCAGCTGCAGTTCTATCCGGTATAAAAGGAGACTTAGGTTTGGCAGATTCTTCAAGTTTTTCAGCTGTTGTGGAGGAGGTCAGACACGCCGATCTTCCTACTAGCTCAAGCACAGGTGCTTGATTTTTCATTTATCTATATTTCTCTGTTTCATCTTTGAACAACCTGTCTTGTTGCCCGAAACACTTGAATATGTTCGAGAAGAATCTGCTACTCTATATACTCTTGGCTGAGCTCCATTGATTCAGACGAATATAAATTTCTCTACAGAATCGACATTGAACATGGATTAAACTGATGAATTTATTGATATTGTATATTAAAGATTATTGGAAACTCGTATTACTACAAGCTTTACAAGTACGTCTTGGAAATGTACTTATGTGTTCTCTAGGTACATTGGCTTCTACTCACAGGTGATGAAGGAAGTTGGAAGGGAAGGTGGATGCAATCAATGAAGTCCGTGATGTCTCGGGTCGCAGTTCAAGTCTCTCAGGTTTGTGACCTCGTGTCTAGCTAGTTTTCATTTTACTATAGTGTACGTACATAATACTTGTGATTTCTGTAAGTCAGTTAGAATTATGTGCAAGTACTAAGACAATTCTAACTGTTAGCCGGAGAGAAGCTATTCTGTAATTCAGCAGACCCTTTCTCTTTTGAACAACTCTCTGAAATTACTGAATTCCACTGAACAGGTGCCCATAACTCTGAAGATCAGATTGGTGTCATTTAAAGGAACTGCTGTCTTGAGGTTGAGAGCTCCACCGTCAGACCGAGTTTGGTTTTCATTCAAAGAAGACCCTGAGATCAACTTTGAGCCAGAGCCATGTATTGGTGACCATCGGATTAGCAGTACTGCCTTGGGAGCATATATTTGTAAACAAATTAAGGTACATTTCAGTCAACAACATGTCATTGCTAGATCTTTATCTGTAACAGAGAAGCATAAGGATCTCCTTTGTGATATTCTCTCAGATTTCAGACAGTCTTCAGTATGAGGTGCTACAGGCTCATGTGAATTGTATATGTCTAGAATTGGCGGTTCTGTCGAGAACCCTGTTTCTGAGCTCATCAACGATGCAATCAGTTGGCTGCGCATCGAATTTATCGCTGTAAATCAGTTTGATTTTGATCGGAAAGTATGTCAACTGCCTGATTCTCTTGTTTGCACATTAGGATGTGTTAAGCATTCCAACTCAGTTCAACAGGTCCCTTTGTATTCTGACGAACTTCTTGTATTTCGGCAGGTTCAAATTAGAAACTCCGTGGTCATGCCTTATTGTGAAAGCTTTCTTCTTGATTGGATGGTGGCTGACAAAGATAACTGGCGGCCTCAAGACGAATTTCCCTTTCCCTTCTTTGTATCACAAGCGTCAGAGGTTGAGCGCAAAACCTCTAAACAGAATTTTGAGAGTACGCGTTCACCATCACGAGACGAGACTTGGAGGTATATTCATCGATCAGTATCTCGTTCACAAAGCATCCGTAATCGCCAAAATAAGCCTCCCAAGGCTCATGCCTCCTATTCTAACCTTAAAAGTGCTATGTCTAGTGGCTCATCCAAACCACAGAAACCTGCAAGTGGTGCTCACCACGAGCAAGCCACGCCATTACAACCCAGTGCGCTTGGTCTGGAGCATCACCAAGAGCCTCGAAGATCAGCCAGTTCAGAACTATATTCTCAAATAGCCACTCCTACATCACCAAGACCTGCTAGTGTACCTCATCTTAAGTATCTCTTATCTGATCCTGCTCAATTGCAAGCATCCGTGATACTTGCTGTAGGATCTGCATCGATTAGCAGAGGAAGTAAGCCTTTGTTAACAGACGAGGAGCGTCCTAGAGGAGAGACTTTGGGATCTATTACAGACTCAGAGCTAGGGGCATCAAGCATGGGGATGCCAGATGCGAAGTCCAAAGACTGTGCATCACATTCGGAGGAATCAAGTTCGGAGAGCGATATGCAGCCCCTACGTATCAAGGTATCTTTGAGACTTCATTCCTCAAAAGAGTCTATTAGATATTAGAGTTGTGATCCATATTCTTGGAAATAAGAACATAAACATGGAATAGTCAATAGCTCTTAATCTTCTCTCTTTTTTTCTTTTTTCTTTTTTATAATAATAATGGGACCTTTGGATTTCACTTGTGTTTCGTTGTTCTTTCGTAAAAATTTCGGATTCGAAAAACCAGTTACAAATCGTAATTGCTAAACCAGGGGCGTTTGATAGGGGATTATATAACCTGTGTATGAGTGACTAACATGCTTGTTACAGGCTACCAGCTCGGGAGAAGCCAAGGAGTCGGATCATGGTTCAAAACTTTCACACCGTGCCAAGATGTTATCCCTGGGGAAAAAAGTGGGAAACAAACTGGATGCAGGACGCCGAAATGTTGTTGAAAAGTTGCATCACTAGATGCTAGAAGATGTAGTTGATGGTTTGACACACTCTCATGCAAGTGGCGGATCGGCGTATGAAGCACCTCATTTTTGAAACCTGTAATTGATCTTCTGTAGTGGTGCGATCACAGAATTAGTATGATGTTCTCCCATCGATTCGAACTATGTTCAAACTCATGCAATGCATCGAACTAGGGTTCAAGAAAGGTAGACGCCAGCCAGGTTTCGAGTTTTGCATCAGCTTGGATCGTTGGAAATGTTTTGCATCAGGGACCAGGCAGATTGGCATGACAGTATATCACTTCAGCGAAGAACGCGGTAATATGTGGCGTGAAAATGAAACTAATTTGAAACTAAGAGAGGTGATTATCATCTGGGCTTCGAGAAGTGAAGCAAATTGATGTAATCATGCTCTCAGTTGCATTTGAAAGGTTTCAAAATAGCCACCTCTACGCACGCGCACTTTGCTGGTTTTCAGTGAGGAAATTGGCGTGCAAGCACGTAGGAGATCAATACTTCAAAGGTGCACCTTGCGTGGGTCTTCCGGGACTAAAAGGATCCGACAACACATTGGAGTGCCAATTTTTATTTGCAGAGCGTTTGTTGTACAAGTACCTTAGTGGGAACTTGCGGAATCAGTGCTCATGTGCTATCTAGTCCACTTTTTCAACATTGGATTTTTTTAATATCATTTTTACCATTACTACCAGCGTGTTGGAATTGTTTTAGCTTGCACTATGTTTAGAGCGTGCAGAGAACGCTTCCATGCAAACTGGGAGAGTGGTGACGCCAAGGGAGTATACTGGCAATATCAATTGTTCTCACATATTATGGAAATGCTTGCGTGTCCAAGGCATATGCTGATTGTAATGATCTGAAAATGTGTCATAGATCAACTTAGGAAACATTTTAAAAGTGCATATTAAGTAACATTGTCTTTAATGCAATGCATCTGCAAAACCCTTAGCAAGGATATGATCTTCTTGAGAATCACCGATTTGGGAAGTATTTTGAGTTTGATTTTAGGCGATGCTTTGCTAAGAATAATACAAAGATTTTATTGAAGCTGCTCGTAGAATTTTCTGCCACTTCAACATACAAACCCCACCTGGAATACTGAAGCACCTCAGTAAAGTGGATAGATTTTATGAGGATATATTTATTAAATGGTCAGAATTATAAGGTTTGGATTTCGTGTACAGGAAACAAGATAGAGCACCAATTGCAGAGAGATCCTGAAGCGTGAAATTCGATAACGGACACGTAACCAGAAAGCTCCTGAAGCCTGCCAGTTGCCGGTTAGCCATATTCGAAGCATTCAGAGCTAATTCTAAGCTGTACACGTACACGATGACCTACTCACATGCAGTGACTTGGCTCGAAGAGTCGAATGACGAAGAATAAAAGTAAGCTATCTGTAGCAGCAGAGAGAAGGGTCATCAGTTATGGTTTTCAGGTACAGAGTAGAATTTGCGACAGAGAACTAGATTTGCAGACAACAGTTGGCAAAACACAGCGATGGGAAACGAAGGGGGCATTCCTAAAGATAAAAGAAAGAGTAACATGTTGCTGAGCGCGGTGCTTGGGGTGGCGGGGCTTGCTCTAGGTTGGGCAGCATTGGAGATCGGCATGGGGTCAATCCAGAATCCTGAACGCGAAAACATTGACCGGTCGCGGAAACCCAAAGTATACGAAGTTGTGGATGAAGAGCCGGGAGTGGTTTTCGTGCAGGAAAGGAGACAAAAAGATGATAACCAAGACAAGGAGGTCGAGTCGCACAAGCAACGAGAGGACATTGAGGCTTGGACAACCGTACCCGCCACATCCTCAGGGATGAGTACAATCGCAGTTAATGATTTTGCTAGAGAAGAATTGCAATTGAGGACTATAGGAGATTAGATTTTGCCTACACTGATAGTGTTCCCCTTTCAATGGTTGCAAAACTGTTGATTCTGTCAATAAAGTCATTTCTAGTTTGCTGCATTCACATCACACCTGCACCAAAACCTTCGTCATTCGACACTAGGTTATTTAGCCATAATCACAAGTGTTATTATTCTGAAGGTTACGGTACCAATCTTCAACACTCTGGTCATAGATTTGAATAACTTCGATCGATCACTCAATACCAACGGCTTCCTCAAGACCTGCACAATGTAACCTGATTCGTACACAGCATCGACATTACTTTTCATGTTCCTAAACTTGGTGATGTGTGATTTCCTTCAATCCTCTCAATTCGTACTCGTGCTTAAATGGACAGCCTTCGGTGCCCAAATCTTGCTTCAAACCAATGGGGGTAGGTCTGGATAATCATCACATCAAGCAGGACTCCATCAAGCATTTCAGATTACCTCGATTCTATAAGCTCGGACAAAAATAAGGAAAAATCAACCACGACCCGGTTTGATGATGCTCTTACACTCACAAGCGTGTTTGTTTGTTCAAAAAGCTTCATTAATACTTACGTGGTCCCCTGATACATTGCCGAAACCCGCCAAGCAGAAGACTTAAAGCTTGGGGGGGGGTTAAGAGCAACAAATCGGGATGAATTTTTTGGGTGAGAAGGTAGAAACAAATCTAAAGATATTCGCAATAAGAACACACCCAAAACAACTGCCCCAAACATGACACTTCTAATTACAAGGTAACAGCACAACACACGACCCCGCCAAACGGATTGTATGACGTTTGTCAAAGATTAATTCTAATTCCCCTTTGTTGTAGAATATTGTAGAGAACGGAGATCGCATGACACACAATAATCTGAATATGTGGCACTCATGCTTCATGAGTAATGCCTTAATATAAATACTGATTGCTCTTCCATAGGGGATACAACCGCCTGAAGGATTCCATCGCGCACTACATTCTTCCAAGAGCCAGAAATAAGATGAAAGCTGGGGGGAGGGGATAGATGGCCCCACTACACTGAAGCAAAAAATATTACAGCTCAGATTCTAAGCATCAACACTCAACTGAATTATGACCATTTGGTGGCGAAAGTGACGTCTACAAGAGATACAAGAAAGATCCTACAACACAGTAAGTTCCAAGAACATCAAGCCATAGCAGTAGAAACCGGTATGTAGAAATCCGCACCTCAGGTACGTATGCAGCAATAGGTGAAGTAAATGTGTGCAAGTTGAACACCATTAATTCCTGGCAACCGACACCAATAGATGGTGCCTTTCAAAAGATCACGTCCACCAAAAATGTGTGCTTCGCTCGTCCCCAACCGACATCCTACTATTTCATCATCATCAGTGAATTGAATGACTGGCCTGACGTAGAGGAACACTGAACCAACACTGCTGGACCTCATCGCCATCCGAGGATCGTGAAAGTAAATCAATATCGTACAACAGACGCTACAATCAAGAGAAGAACGCAACCACCGCGAGGATTTGGAGAGGGACTTGTGGAGTTGCTACAAAACGATAATCCGGTTTTCAAATCTCAGAGTCAAATTCTACTGCTGTCCTTGAGGCTTTTGAAATATCAGCAAATTCTCGCCCAGTGGTGAGAACGCCATACCTCAACACCCACTGCCGGTAGTTGAATAATTCCTCAACCATAGTCTGTATCATAAATAACTACAGCATTTAGTGAAGTTGCTGCTAATCTGCTTCCATCTCGGCTAAAAGGTGATGCACTGCACAGTATCCTGCCCAAGTCCACCCCACCACAACAGTAACACTAAGTTCACCAAACAGAAAATTTACTAAATCTTCCTTTTCTTTCCAGACAACCAGACATATTACAAGTGCATGAAAAAAATTTGACTTCAGCTGTTGTCCATTGAGCACTAGCCTTCGGTTATATTCAGGGTTAATTAGATCCAGCATTGAGATCTTGCCTTCTCATACTTGCAACAAGTTGCCTAGACCCCATCTCCACAATACCATCAGTACCGCGACCTTGCCGATTACAAAGACGATCCATCCTCACATGAATTTGCAACTCCGTCAACCATTGGCCATAATATTGAAAATTGAAAAACACAAACACAAAACTCGAAAACAAGTGAAGGAGACGGAGACTCACTCTCAACTGTAGCTGTAGGCATGCCACTAGATGGCGGTCCAGTACGCAAGGACAGTCCATCTGAACCTCGAACTAAACCCCAATAATTCACATGGATCACCAATACGTACCACAAACCCTAAATCTCGAATTCTGAATACAGGCACATCATCAAGCTGCTAAAACGTTGCAATCAATTGATGAAAGTAGAGAGGATGATCGGTACCAGTGAAATTGAGAGGCGGTGGAGTAGCCATGGCAAGCAGCTCCTACTACCAATCGATCAATTGCACTGCTACCATCCAATGCAATCACCGGCATTGGCTTCAAAGCATGCATGCAACGCGCCCTCCAAGGCCTAAACCCTAATTCTGGAGTGCAGAGAACTCTTGGAGGAAGCAATCTTCCCCGAGTTTCAAGGTTATTGTTTACACATTTTAAAGTTTCTTTTGGCACTAACAGCGAAGAGCAATTGCATTAGTGGTGAAGATGGACACATTATTGTCCTTTGTCCTAACACGGGGAGCTGGATTGTATGATAAATGCTTACAGTCTAAATAACAATGGACCCGGTTGTGCATGGACTATCATGTTGCTGAGCGGGATTTTTGTGTTCCATTGAATAAACGAACCTGCAAGGCCTTTACGACTATGGGCAAGTACTTTGGGAAAGAACATGAAAGGAATTTTTTTTATAATAAAAATAGAACAAGAAGTAATTTTATAAACAGGTGGGACTATTTATGGATGGAAAGGAATATAATATGAAAAAGAGATGGCTAAATAGAGCCCTATACAATTGCTTAATTATATATACATCAAATAGAGATCAATAAAAATAAACAAGTATACTTATGTGGTTTTCTTATGTCTACTTTAAAACTAGAATATTAGACCATTAAAAAGTTGTCGTTTTTCAAATACTTAAACTTATGCTATAAATTTACCTTGTACATGTTAAAGTTTTTGAAAAAGCAAACAAACTTTCAAGGATTCAATAAATTATCCACCTCTAGTATCAACTTTTGAGTTTTCTGTTGAATAGACATCTCACATCTCTTTGCAACTGTGAGTGCAGCAACATCAGAAGAAATGGAGGCACTGTTTATTATTGTGCTGTGCTTCAATCTCAACCTCCCCTGGAGAGAGGGACTGCATGAATGAGCTTGTGACTTAGCAGCCACCACACTACCCAACAGGTAGGACTGGGTCTCCCACTCACAACAGTAATCTATCACCTTTTTCATGCTCATTCATATCAATTGTTCACTTGCACATGGTCTTGCTCTACACATCACATGTGGTGGTGTGCTTTTGGAGGGCATGAAATGAAGTTGAAAGCTTCCCATGCTCTGATGATGGCAACACTTTTTTGTGATGTATTTATATATTTAGTTAGACTTGGGTTTTATATTGCTTGTCTGTTGGTATGTGCTTAACACTAAATGTTGGTGAACAAATTTGCTCCTGAACTGATCTCCTCAGTTCAAGTATTCAGCACATAATACATAATAGTATTTGCTAGAATGAGATTATGGCATGTTGAATTAAGGCAGTGGCCATTCTAAGTGTCACATTTTGTGTATGCTTATTGAAACAAACAAACAAACCAGAACCTTGATTTCCAGAAGAGCAGCCTTCCATAGAACAAAATACTACTGTGAATTTCAGCTGGTGGAGTCTTGGCACTTAAAAAAGGAATACCCATCTGAATTCCAAAGGAAAGGCTTGGATTACATCTTTCGTGTTGCTGTGCAAATAGCAACTGTCGACAGTAAAGAGGGTGCTCAAGGAACAAAGCACATGAGAAATTCTATTGCATAGAAACAACGTGGGAGTAAATGCACATAGAATTTGGCAGCATTCAATCAATGGGTTGAAAATCACCGGCAACACAACTGACAACCTGCAGTGGAATGAATTCGCGGAGAAGGAATGATTAAATGAGCAAGCTGGGCACTGGTGCTGTACATGGAGGACCACACTAGGGCCAGGCCATTGAAACCATGGTTACTGGCTATCGATGCTACAATCCTACAATAATCCCGAGCTGCAAAGCTGGTTTAACCATACTTTTAGAGCTATAACACTAACTCTGGAGGTTTGTCGAAACCATGTTGCTGCTCCATGAGCAACCATGCAGCCTGATCAGTCGGCTGCTGGTTTGGAGTTTCGAGAGACTGCGCACAATCGTACCCACATTCAAACCTTCAGTTTGCTCGATAGATCAGTGTGCAGCAAAACTCTGTGGATATGAAGGATTGAACCCCGCACTCTCATCCGGCTAGTACACGAGATGACTGACCCTTTCGGAGCTAATCATCGATCGTCTTTGGTGCGGGGTTAGTTCTGGGAGAGTTGCTCCAGGTCAGGAGAGTGGGCGGCGCGATACAAGAGATTCTCCAGCACAATGTCAAATGCGTCCTTGAAGGGCGCGATATCCGCACCAGGCTCCCCGTAGATGATTTTGGGAATGATGTCCTTGAGGATCACTCTGCGCATGGCGTCGCGGTCGTGTTTGGAGATTTTTTTCAGAACGTCCATGACGTTCACTTTGCCCGACTTGACGTCGTTCTCGGAGATGTATACCGACCAGGAGGAAGTGTTGCTGGGGAGGTGCCACGGGTACTGCAGGTACGCCGTGCAGGGGTGGAATAAGACAGGAATGCAGCCTGCAACAAGAGAATCGAACACGGAGCGTCGAGTCGGGCTATCCCCGGGTGGTTGCATGCAAAAGTGGGACGTGAGGAAAACCCTGGTAACGTACGCTGGTAGCAAGCACTTGTCGCGCTCGCATTCTAGAAAGAAGCAGTCGTTGTGTGCTGATGCGTTGCGGCACTGGTCGATGAGGGCGCCGCGGACATTGTTCGGATCTAGGTGGCGATCTTTCCCGACAAAGCTTGCGAGGTTCTTCCGGTCTTGGGATTCGACGTGTGTCAGCCAGCGACGGATGTCTGAAGCAGATTTGGGATGGAAGAAAGTGGGATGTGGCACGCCGATGTCGTTTTTGTGCCATGGGTTGCGCTCTATGAGCAGTTTCGTTACCTTCTGCATTTCGGAGAATTCCAGCAGCCTGCTTCCCCAATCCCCCGTGATCTGACGCCGGAAATCCCATGAAATCTTGCCCAACACCAGCACATGGTCGAGTCCCCCGCGCCGATTCCACGACGGCTGGTTCTCAAGCCAGCGCACCAGCTTCCGGCCAAGGGCATCACGCTTCTCATTCGTGGCATTTAGAGCCCAGTGCCAACGGATCACATCAAGTCCACCATAGTACGGAATATAGAACAAGGACGCTTTGCTCTGGTCGTCCGTCCGACACCGATACTTCAGAATCCGAGCATGGGAGACGAGCTCCAAGGAATATTGGTGCGTGTTGAACCATCGCTTGGCAGGCTGTAGAATCTGAGAAGAGTCATTCTTTCCTCCCTCTGGTGCAACAACTCTACCGAATCCTGAGTTCTGGAAGTACTCACAGAGGCCAAACCATGGCAGAAGAGAGTCACACCTTTTCACAAGGTCGACATTGAATTCCGAAGGTAGATCGTAGACGTAAATGTACCTCCCTTTGCAAGAGCCTCCATCTGTGCTCGATGAATTCTCTGAGGGGGGAGCCGAATTAGACCTAATCTCGTCGAGGATTCGCAACGCGTATCTGTCACCGTTCGCATACAAATCGCCAGTTATGCGAGTGTCGCCACCGTGTGCACGCTTCTCACTCTGCATCAGAGCAGCAGAAAGCTCCGTGCGGAGAATGTCCATTTCCTCCATTTCTACTGGTTTGTCAGGCTGGGTGTCTTCTTCATCGTCTTCTTTGGAGAAAGATTTTCTACCTAGGGGTGAATCCTCTGTCTCCACCGTCGCTGATAGAGCTAAATCAGGTACCAGTGTTTTCCTCGGTTTTTTCCCCGCTAGAGCTGCATTCTTGCCACTTCTTGCATCTCCAGCCTTGGAATTTTTGCCAGCAGCTAATTGTGACCTAGTGTCTGCTTGAGGATGCCGACCATCTTGCACGTTGAGACTCTCCTAAAAAGACACAAATCCAAGTGTTCAATCACTGTGAGATTGAAACAGTTGCATGTCAAAAGAATACTGAATGATATTCAAATAGCATGAACATTTTCAGTCTGCATTTAAGTCAACTTCACGATAGCCAAAAATTATTCGTAACAAGAGCAGAGAGAAGGACAATATGTTCCTCACCTTTAATTGAAGAGTTGTAGAACCTCCCACCTCTTCAAGGTTATCTCCTGAAAGTACCGCTTCTGGGGCGCAGGTTGCGCACTGACGCAAGTAAACGCGAGATCCGGGCATGGAGCTGAAAGGTATCAAGCTTGAGGAGCTCCAAACAATGCCGACAACGAGAAGACAAAAGGGTAGCAAAAGCTTCGCTCTGTGCCTGGCCGAGAAAACCTTGTGGGCAAGACCCTGCGGGGCATTCTTGTCTCCCATTGGATATTGCGAATTTTTGTATTGGCAGCGCCAAATCTTATTCTCCTTGAATCCTCTCAACGACGTTTGGGCGACATAGCCATGTAATATAATCACCCCCTAAGTTTGTTTCTTGGATCTGCGCTGCTATTAGTGGTTATTGACATCTACAAAGCTTGAAATTTTGAAGCTCTCACAGGATTATTATCATCGAATAAAAACATTCACCAAAACCAAGAGTAGACAGGCGCCTATGTCCAGTACGCATATAGTTATCGCGTGCTGCCTCACTAAGTCTGGGTACCCATGAACCCTTGAGCCCGAACGGTAGCAGAAGCTAAGTGGTGCTCAATCTAGGCCATTGCGAACTCCTCTTATTACGATTGACGGGTGGCTCGTCAAAGTCCTACACATGACTTCCTTTCATAGAGGTTTTCCGAGACATCAAGAATGCTTTTAAGGTACAACGTAGTGATTGATATACTGTTAAAGGAAGAAAACGAAAAGCGGTAACCACGTCACTACTTAATCAAACTGTTAGACTGCCACTCAAGAATGGCAAGATAAAGAGAGAAGATGGCAGCAGCTGCGATCTCGATACAGACGGAGGAGGGGAAGGAGGAGGTGGTGGTGATGGATGAAAAGAAAACATTAGCGTTACCAGTGCGCTTAATCTTTGGCAGTAACTGCAAAGCCAATCAAGACTCAACTTTGAAAAAACTGTAACGGCACATTGTCCAGGCACGGCATCAGTGGTTCCCCTGCAGTACCTCAGTCAAGCACTCCCAAAAGGAGTTAGTGCTGCAGCAATAGCACTAAGGATATCGCTTGGTACTGCAGTGCACCTTTGATAGAGACGATGTACCGTAAGGCAGGACAATTTCCGGAGCTTCCAGCACCAAGCCTCCACTACACAAGGCTTCCACTCTCCTCAGCCTCAAATATGCTTCCTAATTAAGTAAACTACAGTGACCATGAAACCCCTTCTTAACCCCCCAAACAGCAGCTGGGCTAAATTAGCTCCAAACAACAGCATAGCTCCTCGAAATGAGTCACATTCTCAAATCGTCAGTTCTCGAGGTCCTCACCACACCGGACTCAACCATCCCTTCTCTCATCTGCCCACTCCTCGCGGCCAGCTCGGTAGTGAATCATCCTCCTCTGCAGCAGCGCGACAACTTAACATCCAATGTCAACCATCAGTTTCTCCAACACTGATACTTGTCAACAACACTAGCTTGCAGGCCGGCAACACTCACCTGGAGCTCGCGAAACTCCTAAGCTTGAGATGAATACCAGGCAGCGAGGGAGTAACTGAGTGAGTATGAACAGTGGTCGACAAGTATTACTCACACAGCCGGCTCCCAGAAGCAAGATAAGTTACACTACGCAACGCGTTCGAAGACTACAGTATAAGTTGGTAACCTAACTTCATCATGACAGCATACCACCTGGTCTCCTCGGGTATGGGAAATAGAAAAAGAAGCTCCAGTGCAATGCAATGCGCGGAGGAGGAGGAGCTTTGAAGAGTCTGTCAGGGGACAGACAGTACCGGTGGGGAAAAGGGGGGGGGATGTGTAAGATAATAATACAGCAGTGTGACGGTGACAGTATGATTCATGTGTGAGTGATCGTCGTCATTGCCTGGCTTCTTCTTCTTCTTCTTCTTCTTCTTCTCTTTCTACTTCTTCTTCGAAATAGTGCTGCAGCGTTGCAGTGTGTACTACAGTCACAACCGATTCCAGCAATTGCACTTCCACATCAGGGCAAACGGATGCCAATAATTCCAGACATTTCTTCTGGGGGTTGAAATAGGTTTTCTCTCCCTGATGGTGACGCATTCATGCACCCACTAGCCCTCTGCTTCGTTGTTACACCACTTCTACGAGGAGGACCAGCTAACCTGTGACGACCGGCGTCTCAAAATCAGAGCCCCATTCAATGCAAAATGGGCCCTTCCTCTGCCACCCCCCTCTGCGTCCAGGCTCCAGCTGCCAAGCTTTCCTGCAGGGTACGAGTGTTGGTCAAATCCAACGTAGAAACTAAATAAATAAATAAAGAAAATAATATAAAATAATATAAAAACTCCAGCTTTATTTTTTGTGTACTGTTCTACTGAGTGCTTTTCATATTCAGTACCTCAAAATCAAAAACAAACCCAGATTAAGAGAATCATTTAATGTTCTTCTCCCAAGGAATAGAGCTTATGTTCTCATCATGAAACTTCATCTGAACAACTCAGTGGGAAGAAAAAAAAAAAAAAATCTCATCCATTTCCATATATGTAGAAGCTCTGAAGTTGCAGCATTTACTTCAACTGAGCATGGTCTGTGAGGGTGGCTCCTTGAGTATCTCACACACACACACACACATATATATATATATATATATATAAGCAGCTTCTGCAGACTTCTACCACAAGAGACAGTGTCAACACTGCAGCTGCAGAGAAGCAGTGGCAGCAGGAGCAGCAGCAGCCAGCATCATTTTCCCTGCCAGCAACAGGAAAGCAATGATTCAAGGGTGCAATCCTCAACCCCATCATGTGGTCCAGCTCCATAGCTACCAGAAATTGGTTACTCCTCCTTAAGCTGGATCACATTCCTTTCCTTCTTCATCAATCACACCACCACCACCAATGTCCTCCTTCACTGTTAGAAAAAAAAAAAAAAAAAAAAAAAAAAAAACTACCACACACACACACACATTACCACCTGGATGTAATAAAAACCTTCACCCACATACCCATCCATGCATCCATGCATCCACATTCCCATCAATTCTGTATTGGACACACAGTCAGAGAGTGGTGAGAACTGAAGGCCATTGGATCAAAAAGTTGTGCCAGTTAAGCAATTTGGGTTCAGAATTTGTGAGTGGCAATTGCTTTGCAGCTGAAAGGGTTGTGGTGACAACAAATGTGGGCTTGGGGTACACTCTGTGTTTTTTTCTTTCTTTTTTCTTCTTTTCTCAGCACTGTGCCATGTGGATGCATGCTAATTCTTTTGCAAGATTCCCTACTTCTTTGTTCTTTCACAACCCAAAAGGCCAAATAATGAAAGTGATCTTTATTATGCCTCATTCTAGGACTCCTTATCATAGTCACTTGTAACTATATTTTCTATTCCAGTTTTGCATGTTGAGGTGTGTCCTTCATTCTACCAAAGGTGACTCAACCCATTGCAATCAGTTTATACACATTAGAGGTATATTTATTTTTCTTCATGTTTGTGTAGAGTTATTAGATGGAGTTCTTATGAAAACAGGTGTTACTGCACATGTTATTTGTGCTCCATATAATGAATAAAAGATATGTCATATGTTGAAATACAAATTTAAAGTTTTGGAAGTAATTATACTTACTATTGCTCAATAAATAATAATAGGATGTAATCTACGAGAGTCTATAGATAACAAAGTAAAATTATTACAATATATATATATATATATATATATACATACATATAGTATTACTTCTCATAAGTTATCTCCCAATATGTTATAACCCCTGATAAGTTTTGAAAAATTGAAGAAGCAACTTGGTTACATTTTGGTTAAGTTTTAATTCTTATAAATTATCAATTATGATCAAGGAGGAAAAAAAACATAAAGCTATAACTTTGTGGATGGTGTAAACAGTAGGAAACCTAGCTTAGCTAGGAATCAAACATGCTTTGTTGAATGTTGCAAAGGATCTTATGGGTAGTATATTCACCCACATCTCCAACATCTAGCATAGAGATAATCATAGAAAGGCTTCATAACTTCTCCATGTGCATGAAGGACGTTAGTGCATAGTCTTCCTTGAGGGTGTTGTGAACACCTTCACCTTCCTCTATTTGTTGATGACAAACAAGTTCAATAATTTTGTTATCATCTAGCTCGATATGCACACGGTTTTCTTTGATTGGATAGAGCAGGTTTTTTTTATTGATATTAGATTTTATAATAGAAGACTTCAAATTACACCTACCAGCTCTTGTTTGACCATTTCTTTATCATTGATTTTTGTGATTTTATATGCTTATTCAAAAAATCTAGTATGTTGAAAACAATTTTATATTATTATTATTATAGATATTTCTACCCAAGATGCAAGTAACCATTGCATTGCCGTCAATTGGTCAATCTTGTATAAGTTGATTTCATTTTGCTTGTCTTAGTCAATTGCATTCTACAAATAGAAGCATCAATAGTATTGCTTGAATGTCATGATGATTCCAACATCTATTGGCTAGATCTTTAAAGTTGTATTAGAAGGAAGTGCATAGACATCTATGTTGAGAGGAATCTGGTTGTTTGTAATGTGCAATAGTATATTGTCTATAAGGAGCAAGATCCACCAATGCGCCCTCTTCATTTCTTTATTGAGATTTTTGAGCTATTTCTAGAAAAAGACCTCAATCATCTATGTTTTCTTGTTGGATTAATAATAAAAATCTAGTTGTTTGCTTGTGCAATGGTTGGAGCAATGGGCCTTGTAGGTATGGCCAGTATAAAATGATGACAATTTGTAGATTCCATCGACATTGGTTGTGAATGTAATGGTGACTTGTGCAATTTTTTTCTTGTAGCTAGTAATTTATTGTTGAGCAATGGTTTGGTTTGGCACCATATTGTAAAACAATCTTGTTTTATCCATGTTGTACATATCCCACAAATCATAACTTGTAATGTGAGCACACAAAGCAAGCATCACTATATCAATATCAGCTTGATCAGTTGAGTCTACCTCCTCATGCTTTCTCATCACTTTCAACCTGTGGTAAGAGAATATTTTTTTCAAATCAGTTGTTTGAAAACTCCATTTTGTCTATGGAGATTGCAAGCATCTCTACAAAGCATTGATCTTACTCCTTAATGAGCTTTGTTGACAACAACACATTTTGAGATTGCCATTGTAGAATCCACAAAGCAAATGATTCCTCAAGGTCAGGGAAGTGAACCAACCTTGGATGCTTTGCTTGAACTTGGTCCTAGCCCATGACTTTGTATTCATCCCATTTTTCTAAGATTTTGCTAATAGCAACTTGTGAAGGTGCTTTCACAAGCTTAAACTTGATTTTGGCCCAATCTGATAAGTTTTAACCTCCTATAAGTTATATTTTGGGAGGTGAACTAACTCTAAAACTTACAAGAGGTAATACTGTATATATATATACATACATATATACATACTTATACTTATGTTTTTGAAGAGCTTCTTAGATTGGAAAAAATGGTATCAAAGGGGAACAGAAAAAAGCACCTGATGGGAGACAAAGAGCACTATAATCTATGGAAAAAATAAAGAAAAAGGATGCCTTCTAATAACAATATGCGAAAATCATAGAGTCTGACATGTAGTTATCACTGTAATAACAAAAATCTTCATATGTACTTGTACATTAATTACATTACAGATTATCGTTAACACCATTGTACATGATGATTAGTACTTGTACGTACCATGCTGTATGATCTAATTACTTTGAAGCTATTTAAAACTTAGTATTTAGGGGCAAATGATATTTGAAACACATAGTTGAAGATTTAAAATATTCTCTATCAAATCTACAATAAATTACTGGAATTGAAGATGCCTTATTATTTGTTACAAAAAAGAGTGGGTTTATATGCAATAATCTTACATATCAGAGGATTTGTCCTATATCACCTAAAACTTTGTGAAGCAAGCATATTACCTAATCTAACACTTAAGGTTTTTATGATAATTTTTTTCATAAAATGAAAACACAAAATGTTAGTTTTAGGTATCAATATTCTAAATTACAATTGAATTTTTTTTGAACTACTTTTTTTATTAAAACTACTCTAAAAACAAAAATGAGCACAAAAATAAAAATAAAAATAAAAATATTAAAAGTTATATTTTAAATTTACATGCCTCAGATATATGTATATTATCTTGAATATTTTATAAAATAAATATGTAATTAGTTTATCATATGACAAGGATGCATAAGAAATCAGTCGAAACTTAGTGTAATTCAAAATATGTAATATAAAATGAAGGCCTCAGATAAATTAGTATTGGGACTAAATATTAACAAAATACATGCTACATTTGTGACCTTTTGTTTATAATTTCCTTGGATCAAACATTAATTTTTTTACACATAATTATAGAAACTTAGATATTTTCATTAAAATATTATAAATTAAATTTGAAAACTGAATAAATATAACATTCTCTCTCTCTCTCTCTCTCTCTCTCTCTCTCTCTATACATATATATATATATAATTTATTTTAAATTGAGTATGATACATTTATATTTTGATCTTTTGAATCTTTTTACTTTTAAAGTTATAAAAATAAATAAATAAATAAATAATGTGTTCAAGTTTGAGGAACTGATCAACTTAAACAAAAGAGTTAGTTGTTGTTGATGGAACACTATAGTGTTTCCAAACTCTCCTATTTCCACACTAACCCCCCATCACATGGTCTATATATATACATACACACACACAAACCTAATATATATATATATATATATATACACACACACACCTAATAAATAAATAAATAAATATATATATACATATATATATATATATATATATTTCCATTCCTTTTAAATTGCCTACAGATGATGCCTAGGATCATTTTTCTCTCCTCTTTGTTTTCGTGTGTGGTGTTCCAAGGCAGCTTTAATACTAGGAAACTGACACCCCCATTTGGCAAGAGGGATGGAATTTATGAGGGGGATGATAATAATGTACATGGGGGCAAAGTAAGAATTGTTTCATTGAAATCAAAAGTGGGCAGTGAGGAAAGGGGGACAAGGGTGATAGGTCATGTTGGTGGTGGCTTTTGTTGTTTGTTGTTCAGGTGAAAAGGGGTGGTGAGAGGTTGTTGCCTCCCTTCCCATTCTGTACCCAGCACCTGGAAGTAAACAATCATAACTCTCTGCCCTGTTGGATTCTTCCCCATCTCTCACTGTCTCCTCCAATTGTGACCCACCAGGACCACCCTCCCCTCTGCACACTCCACCAAATCCTAACCCTGACCCCTCTTCCACTGATTGTAACCCTAATCCTGTTATTGTTGTAACCCCACCCATATTCTAAGCTTTGGGGTTGTTGTGGCAACAGAAAGCTCAAGCACACAACACACCTTGCACACTTGGGTATGTGTGGGTGTGGGAGTCTGTGCCCATTTAAACTGCATTTGTAAACAAATGTATTAATTGGACAGGGTTTTTGTTTTTGTTTTTGTTTTTTTTTTTCTCACAATGTAGGTGGTTGAAAACCGGGGTGAGAGCAGCATGTTAACTACTCTGGGTTTTGTCCCTTAGGACCCAGTAAGATGGATCAATGTTTTATATGTAGATGAATGATGTGATTGGGGTTGTAATGGAAATGTTGAATTGCATGGGAAGAGAGAGCAATAGCAAAAAAGCTGTCTTCCATGCAGATGCAGTGGGACTATTTCTCATCCACTCAAAAGAGCTATTGCCAATATTATTCTTCCCTCATTTTCTGTGACTCCTTTTGAGTAAATCAAATGCACATGGGTCATGAGAAATGGGCAACGCAGGGAGGTCATGTGCAAGAAGGTGCATGAGATGGATGTGTCACACATAATGAATACAAGTAAGGGATTATTTGTATAAGTGCATGGATGTTTGTTTGTTTGTTTTAGTTGTGACAGGAACAAAGTTAGTGGAGATAAGGGCTTCAGGTGAAGAGGAGGTTTGGGGAGCCCTTTGGTGTAGCTGTTTAGTGTGAGAGTAGATGAGTCAGGTTACAGGATGCCTTTGGTATGGTAATTGCACTCTCTACACCTGGTTCTACAATGCTTAGTACATTGAATGTGGATTTGTTAGTCAGAGAAGTGCAAAGAGCACACACACACACACACACAAACTCAGTGTTTGATTAATTGAAGCAGAAGTAATTGCTATTCACAGTTTGCACACTCTGTTTCAGTATAATTGGTGTGAGTGTCAAGTGTAGGTAGACATATGTGAATGTTAGGAAGAATACGTTCACATGTGAGAATATGTGTGAAGGTAAATTGAAACCATGAGACACCAGAAGTTTGCCCTCATTGCTCTGGGAAAAGGATAATTTTTTTGCACATACATGTACATATATATGTATATATGTAACTATGAGTTTTGAAATCTACCAGGTAAAGTGAAGATGGATTTTCAAAAGCTTCGATGACATTTCCAGAGCACCATGGAATATAATCTCTGAAAACCATCCAGTGCATTTAATATAGCATTATCAGATCAAGTACTGTGACTAAACAATGAAGTGTAAACGGAAATTACGTCGTACGTGTCATTGCTATGATTGAAAAACGTTTCATCCAGTTTCTTCTCGTACTGAAGCAAAGATTTGGGAGTCACTTTTGTGATAGCCCGTGCACTCTATTAAATTGTTCTGTCTCATTTCTTTCACAGAAAGAAAGGTAAGTAATAATGAGGTTCGATCTTTGAAGACATGACAAGAAGATGAATGAGTTGCTTTGTCGATAGGAGGATGAAGAAAGTTGTTCGAATTGCAAACATGCACATGGGTGCATACCTTGAACAGAAGTAGAGCACGTCTTCCTGCACATCAATTTCCGTAGAACAGATCGAGGAGGAAAAAAATCTGAGGCTAATCTACTTATGGTACATTTCCACAGAAGTCACAAGAGCTGACGAAGCACCGACAAAAGTTAAGAATTTTGTCAACCAAATGTGTGAACAGATTCCATGGAGCGGATGCTTGTGGTCTGGTAAGAGTTGCAACCCTTGTTGCAGGATACATATGAAAGGGCAAGGACTGAAGAATAACTGCTGTTCCGACTTGAGATAGGTTGATAATGCTTGAGGTCTGATGCTGATCGTTCTCAAATCAACACAAGGAGATGCAACACGTTGCACATTTCTCTTGCCCCCACCGAAGGCCGGACTCTCTTGTGGACGACCGTCACCAGTAAAGAGGATGTATGACAGCGGTAAAAACACCTGCACCTGGATAAAAGTACTGGTAGTACAGAGAATCTGCACGAAAATGAGAAGCGTACTGATGCAACCATTCTCCAGGTTTCCACGTCATCCAATATCTCCAGATCGTGTAGTTACTCAAAATCAAATGTTGATCGATTTTGCGTAACTATTAAAGGAGTTTGTTTCGAATGACCGAATCTGTCGGAGACGATCGAGCTCAATGCATGCTGACACCTGGAATCAATTCAATAGTTGGCTTGTTGGTAGAATATTGAAGGCTGGCCGAGAAATGAGTTCAGCAGGCGACAGTGACATTTAAAAGAGAAAATCAAGTACACAAACGTTTTCAAGAACGGAGACAGTAGACGAGGAACTTACTTCCACGGCATATGATCAATGAACATTGACGGAGAAATAATGAGATCTAGAAACTCCTTACGATCCGCCACATAAGCCTGGTACGTCGAGTTTTTTTCCGCTCTCCGCAATTTCCAGAATGAGCATCTCTGGGATACTTGTGGGTTCTCCTCCCGCACAATATGTATTACCTTTCCAGGTAGAAGCATTTCATTTTCGGAGGGCTCTTCTTGCTCCTCCCGGACTGGAACGAGTGGAATAAGATCTATGTCGATCGTCACACTCTTGACTTTTTCAGTTAGAATGGGATTGGGTGGAACCAACCTCGTCATCAACTCCCGTCCGTGAATCTCACTTTCGAATTCTGGCACTCTAATCCGACTGTTTCGCTGCTTAGACAAGCATTTTTTATAACGCTCGATCTCGTTGCTGGTAGGAATTGCTTTATGATGTTCAGACATTTTGAACAAACAGATGCGTGTGTACACGCACAAGAATACTATACCTTTTATCATATACAACAACCGTTGCGTCTTACTAAGCTTAGAATATTCGTTCCCATCGTGGCTCTCTGATGAGAAAATTTCAAAAAAAGGGCAACATGACGAGCTTGGTATGTTTGCGCTGGAAAGGGACGAATTTTTAGCTTTCCCATGTTTGTTTACTTCGGACTTGGAAGGAGGGTCGGACAAGGCTCTCAGAGCATTTGTGCGCAAACGCTTTAATGATGTAACAGAAAGACGGGATGAAAATTCGTCGTGATTGACCACGCTGCATTCACCACCATCAAAAACTTATGAGGAAGGTGAGTGGATAAATAGCTGTTACTGAACGCGCTATCAACCAACAGACTCCCAACAATCACATGAAGTTCAATGCGGCACATTCTGAATGTCCGCAACAGACATCTCCACAAACGTTGGGATTTATGGGATAACCTGGTGACGAAGTCTTGGCATGCCTCTGCTATGTCTATGTCCACACATGGTAGGACCCCAAAAGCGTAAACACGCAATTTTGGATAACGCCGGTATAACTGCCACATTCAAAAAAAACTAATGTTTGAGAACATCGTCAAAAAGAAAAATTTTAATTTTCAAAAATTAATTCAATCGTTAAGATCACACGCTGAGACACTGACTATGCAGAAATACGCTTCTCTCCAACATGATTTTCTTCATGAAAGGATAGAATGTCCACAAATGAAGAAAGAGAGAGAGAACCAAAAACTGACAAGTTACCAGAATACGAAAAGGGTACCTCCTAATAGTCACATCCACTCCTATATTGACCGATGAGAACCAGACACAACATCAAGTAATCCAGATACAAGCCATATTTGAGCCAGATAGCCAACAACACATTTATACTGCGACGATTCCCTCTACAACATGTGATAAACTCTAAGACGTATGTAACGTTGACGTATTATTAAAACCAGGGATCTAACCGGTATCTATTGTTCTTACCCTCAAACCTGTGAGAGCACTAATTGCACCTCCTAAAGAGTGTCCCACAAGTCGCAGGTCATAACCTTCACAGACTCCTCGAGAACCCAACAATCTTGAAAGCAACCCTTTACGAGCAACTCCATTAGGCACATTGCCCCCTGGTAACACAATTACGGGGTTACATATTTAATGTAGTGAAAAAAACCTCGGACGATCGAAGAGAACGACTGTCCAGCTCGCCCAACTACTGCATAAGCAGGCCAAAACCAACTCTTTGTACAGGTCCAAGTATACCAATAGGCCTTGCTTGGAAGTGAATTGCTTCATTCCCTCATCAAACAGGCTCATGTGGAAGAAAACCACCATTTCAATTCCTCCACGTGCCTTAAGTCCAAAGAAAATGTACTTTACACTCACCTGTATCGCCATTGATGGAAGCCATGTCAGGAGCAGCCATGCCGTCATCGTCATCCTCCGCCAAATTATCGAGCTGCATTGAGAGCTCACGGGCTGCTTCAATTATTCCTCTGTGTGCATAGTGAGACTTCTCTTTCACCTTCTGCCTCACCTCCTCTGAAATATTTGGTCCTCTACACTTGACAGTAAACGGATTATGAACTAACAGTTGCTAGATCCATCATTCTCGTTCGATGTCATCTATTCCAGCAAATACTCTGTTCTTCACGCGAGAATATTATAAATAAGTACCGACTCCTCTTCAAGAAGGTCACAATCGTACAGATACCAGATGTGAACGAGTTCTTACTTTAAGAGCCATTGTAAATCCGAATCCGTAAGAGGAGTGTCTTCGCTAAGTCCATCTGTAAGCAAATCTTCAGGGGTCTCTGTCCCACGGACTGCCACGAGCACTATTTTAAGTTTTTTCAAAACCACCACAAAATATGCCGACTGCCTTGCCGTCTGCAGTGAATATACATGCGTCATAGAATAAAATTAATACCTAAACAACACTGTAATCCAGTGACATAACCTACTTGTTTTGAGATACGTGTTAGGGCCATCCTTAGAATCCACTCTCTACAGAAGGTTAATTCACCAATAAAAGTTCCAATTGGAAATACTGCTCAGATATGATAACATAGAAGAATTCCACTACTGAAACCACTGTTGGAAGAGTTCTCCCTTTCCAAAGCATGCCTTCATTCCAGTAGATAAGTTCACAACCTGAATCATTGGAGAAGGAAGCGTTTCCTCATTGCGCCAACAATGAGCACAAATGCAAGGAAGACACAATAAATTGACATTGGTACCAACAGGTTATATTGGAAAAACATACCTGCCGTACTCGACCTTTTACAAGATGCGCATCAGTTTCTAAAGGTAATCGTGAATGCCAAAGAAATGCAGCTGCATGTCCCCTCCACCAGTTATCTCCTTCCAGAACTTCTGGACGACTGCAAAGTTGAGAGATTTAGATACGGTAAGCATCTTACAAAGATTGAAACACACTTTCTTTCAATCGTCATTAGAAATCTAATGAATATGTAAATTACTCACGATAGCGAGCACAGAACGATATATTAGAGGAGACGACTTGTGCTTCCTGAACAAGCATCTTACAATCCCATTCGCTGACTTAAAAATATAACAAACAGCATGCTAACTCAATATCATTGATCTGGTAAATGAATACAGTGCCTTAGAACACCGTAGATCACATATTAAGCTTCAGATTCAGTCAACGTTGAGAATTCAAATCCCACAAAAACAACAATGCATAAAATACTGGTACAATGTCCGACAGCGTATGATCAGACAACTTGCTTTGAGAAAAATACCAAGATTCACTCAAGTACTCATGAAATGATATTTACCTGCTTCGTTTCCAGAAGGAAAATAACCCTAGGCTGTAAACCCACGTAAATAGCCAACCAATGGGATTGCGTCCCATTTCTAGCAATGGTCCCTGGAATTATAGAAAGAACAGTTAGGGCAACATAACACGAATATTTACCAGCAGTATTCAGTGAAGAATTCGAAATAATGTGGATAGTACAATGTGAAATTGAAGCAATCACTTACAGTATATGCCGCTACAGCGTATGGATGAAGGACGCTGGCTTCGAGAATTTGATCTTTGGGTGCTAGCTCTCTTCTTGGTCGTTGAATTTTATTTTTGCGACTCAACAAAGACACTCCTGGAAAAGCAAGGAATACGATTATGTGATTGAAGGTGTTCCAAGTTATGGTGTGTGGACATATCTGCGCCTTAATCCGTCTGTTCTATTGATTATGATCTAGGAATGCTACTTCCCAAGCTCAACCAAGAAGAATCACAAATATTAATAACTCTGTAAAATAACCAACTAAGCGACCAGGGCTGCCGACTCGAGAATTGTGAGATGGTCTAAAACTTACAATAACGTTAAAGACTAATTCTCATATTGCAAACATGCTCTACACGTATCAAAGCTGAAGAAACCGAGGAAGCGCTATCAGCTGCATAAGAGTTTCATCTGATTAGCCTCACAGGAGCGTCACATTCATACTTCTCAGATGTCACAGTTTGAACGGTGAAGGAGAAAGGCAATGGCACTTCAGAGAGACTCAAGCCTTCATCACCAGCCAGTAGGGGAGGCCCTAGGTACGTAAATAAATCAAATCAAGAAGAAATTTATACCCGCTATAAGCTCCAAATGGCTGCAACCTTCAGCCCGATAAGAAACTAGCTCACCCAGGAAAGAAGCAATCGAACTTACTTCTTCATTCCGTACATGTTGACTGCAGAACAAAGCACTTTCAGTGTTGCTTTAGGAATAGATGTGAAATTGGACAGAAAATGAAGTACCTGTAACTTGTTGGTACAGAATCAAGCAATCAAAAAGAATGCGGTCTTGTGACTGAAGCAGTACGGTTTTAAGCTTCATTGAGTCAGATAAACCAGCTGCATCAATCGCAAGTACATCATATGCAGTTTGAAAACGGGTAGTGAGACTGCCATTTAGGTCACACATTTTCTTGAATGTGTAGGAAAGTGTGTTTCCATAACCGTGATAATTAATCCATCATGAATCTACTCCTTGGAAAACTTTGCGGAATGATATTGTACCAATGAGAAGAAATTCCAGAATCTGCATGTCGAGCAACAGGCCAACCTAATCTGACAGGAAATATAAATGTACGCTGCTGTTTCTCAAATCATGTATCATACAATCGAGAACAAAAAATACCAGTGGAAAAGTAAAGGGTTATAAAATATACAGGTAACGGATTGGTCCCAGGCAACGAAGAGTATCACGAATGCAGCAACGAAAGACCTCGCTATGATGAGCCCTCCAAGCGTCATCGGTCTTGTAAAATGAACGCCACGATATTATGTCAGGGCCCGTGTGCCAACTCAAGTAGACTACCGTTAAAGTGGCTACTGTTAAAACCTTAAGGAGAATCTGAAGATGCTTCTCATTGCTACCTGCCAGATATATGCAAATTTAGAATCAGAATTCGAAGCTCACCCGACATGTCACCGACTCACAACCCATCCTAATCCATAAAACACCAGAGAATAAAGCATATTCAACTATACTGACAGACAACAGCAACATTGCGGGTACTCACAATAACGTATGTTTCCAAGTATGAAACCCGCAGCCACAACTTGTAAAATCAGCATCAATGTTCCAACGCGGTTCCACCACAGCCACCGCCAGTACCATCGCTGCTTTCCAAGGCCCACAAGCAGTTACAACTCATGCACTTGTCAAACTTAGGTCAAATCTCAACTACTGGGTTTAGATGACTACAGCAAATTCAACAACATTCCAGGTGATGGTCTCAATTCCACAGGGGTTCGCTAGAATTATATATTCGAAAATGGGGTGTGAATGAATATAGCCTAGAGATATGATCACGTTGGGTTCATGACCATATGCCTAGAGTAAGTGGGAAGCAGAGTGGTTATGGTAAAGGTTCGAACGCTCACCCGCCGATCCATTTCAATTGATTTCTTGTCACCAGATTCCGCAGCCATAGCCAATGCCATCTCGACTTGGATATGCCAATTGCAAAATATCCACATAACTCGAATGAACGATACAGCCCCAAGCAAAACTGTGACTCTCGCTACTGCTGCGGGGGATTTTGAATGCAGCTCCTCTCTTGGAGCACATGCGGCGACGAGTGCGACCAAGGTCACATTTATCAGAATAGGTAATATATTTACCTTCTTCACAGCCTTCAGACGTTGAAGCCGTGGCTTCTCTGTTGGAGGCTCTACCATGTTGGGGCATGAGTAATGACTCAACCTGGTGAATTTAACCAAGCTTACATTGACGAGTAGACACACAAGCCTGATGAACAGTTACGCCATCCCCCTCATCCCTAAGTTCATTGTTACAATCTGCGCACACGCGTGTGCTCGTTAGCAAATACTTTCAACGCCAGATAATGTACTTCCCGAGCAGAAATTGAAACTGAATTCAAAGTCTGAAACCGCCATTAACCAAATAGAAACAGTCACCACTGAAAACACATCCTCAAAAATTCTCTGTATTCATGAGCATTACTCAACCGTTACATAGAAGTGTCATAGTGACACGCAAGAAATTGGAATCCGGAAGGATTGGGTGCGTGATGACAGTGAAAGGCGATTATCAAGTGTTCCTTGACATCTATGTGTGTTTCAGTGCCGTAAATCTCACAGTGAACATTCGCGTGACCAAGGTTACGATCTACAGGTAAACCATGACCATAACGACGATTGAGACCCAAATCGGACCAGTTTGAAGCAGAAAATCTTGTCAGGATCCCAACGCGGTACGACAAATTTGCAGCAATACATCCGGAACACGCCCAAGCATATACGTCTAGAAATGATATGCAGCAACACTGTCATGACTCACCCATAGATTCCCCTTCTCCTACCTGCAGCCGCTAATCCACGGCTTTCATGGGAGGAAAGGAGCAATTCGTGCAGCGTGCGTAGATTTCAACCCAAAATCCGCAGTGCATATTGCTACTTTGCATCTTCTCAACCGTTGGCTAATCCTTGCGTTCTTGGAGGGAATAATGAGAACCTCACGGTAGCTTCATATAAACTGGAAATTATATGTTTTCAACATGAACGCGATATCAACCAATCGATTACAAAGGTGCACGCTCCTTCCAAACAAGCATCACAATCACGCAATCACTATCGTAATGCGCAGGAGCAATCTCCACAACCATCACATCTTCACATATCCTGGGAATCTGTTCCAAACCAAACTCGCCAGGAACTTTCGTTTCCAAAAGCCCCCATCACGGAACCCATGTGTACAGCCCAGGTGACACGACTGCCGATAACGTACATCCCTCAGCTCACCTTTGCTCACCATCTTGAGGATCCAAGCATGCAGTAGAAGGCCATGACTGGCTAACACCATGGATATCTGCCGGGTTGAATCTTGAAGTCGCATTCAATGACTACATACTAAACCGCACACTCATCGTCAACCGCTCCGTCGACTCCGCAATCCCAACAAAAGTCATTCCTACATTATCTCACACCATTCCTCACCATTCTACTCACCTTAATCCGTTCGACCACCAACCACCATCAACCAACCCCGAAAACACCCAACTCAACCAACCTGACCAACCCAACTCACCCGCGATAAGGCTGACCCAAAGAACTCATCAAAAGGCCTCGTTCTTCCGTCGATGGACCGTCAAAACTATTGACCAACATCCTCCTCTTCCTCACTCTTGCAACACGGCCATCGCTCACACGGTTCGCTGCGAACATTTGCACATTCTCTTGAGACCACTCTACCATGTCCATCAAACTCCGAGAAGACCCACCTGTGCAAACTTTACCTCTAATATTAGCTGCTGCTCATCTTCCTGTGAAGTTCTGCCCTTCCATAATCACACCTTCACGTGAAATTAAAAACAACAACGTACTAGTAATCGGTACAAAATAACGTTCTGAGCAATAAAAACAATTACACGTCTGTGTTATAGAACTCAATTAGTAGAAGCACTTGCGTCTTCACGATCGCCATCGCCGTCGCAGGCTATTAATGCCGGCTCATGGCATCACGTTGGACAGTTAGACGCTACGCAGAAGTGACTGTGACTTTTTCCCCGCAATAAAACCCTGTAAAACTTCTCCGGTAAATGCATATGAATGTATGTATATATTTTTATATATAAATATAAACTTTCGGGAATGTAGAAAGGTGGCATTCCCCAAAATTCAGGTGGCGCCGCTTCCCTACGAAACATACAAATCACTGGTGCACAAGCTCGGAATCAAGGTTCCCACGTCTCATGAATCGCACAAACTGAAACACCATCAAGCTACCTTGAGCACATCCTCCACCTTCTCGGTACAAGCCAAATCACATATAATCACTACCATTGACAACAAAACGAAACGAAACGAAACATCAAAAACCCACTTCTACTGAAACAGCAAACAAACTCGCCTAAGTAAAAACACTTGTGTGTTCAATGTTGTCACGTCAACTTACAAGTTTCTTAGAACATAAGTGCAAGTAGAAAACAACCCAGAAAATACTTTGACGTTATTCAGATTTGCCTGCATGGGAATTCCACCAGAAAATTTTGATTCCACGTACTAAGTGGACAGTTTTAATAGGCTTGGCAGTCACATTCCCTTTTCTGTTAAACCGTGGAAATGGTGCTTTCAAAATATACCCAGTAAATACCGTTCAATATAAACTCCTAAAACTATTCTAACTATGAATAGGTGCATGTAAACATGCGGTTGCAACGCAGCATGTGGATCATACGTGGTCTTCGTCAGACTCCAGGTACTGCGGTTCTTACAGATTCGGCAATAAATTGGACTTCTAATTTTAATTTTTGGCCTGTAAAGAGAGTTTCCCTCCATCAACAAGAGGGATAATTAATGGACTAGTTAATGAGATCCATAGTGGTAGGGAGGACTATTTTCGTTTTCATCTGCAAGGATTTAGGGGTCACTTTGGAGAGCCCCTTTTCTCATTGCAATGAATATTCTCATTGAAAGAGAATTATCCCTTTACTTCCTTCCTTAGCAGAATAACATTCTGTATTTGGAGTAGACTAGTGGCATTTCATTCTTAGTTAAATTCTTTGAAATCTCTATTCCGTTGCTCATTCTTCTATTCTCGTCGAGCATGTCATAAATACCATAGTTTCAAGATATTATGTGGTTCTCAAGTGTCCTTTGGACAGAATAAGAGAGGCATTTCCTTGTTTACTGAGTTACTAGGTAGATGGTACTTTCACCTTTGAGTTCCGACAATTTTCTATAAATGTTTTACTCGAAATCTATTACGATTGTAATACTAGTCATAACTGGAATAAGAAAAATAATACAACACATTTATAACATAGAGTCAGAGAACATTTGGCTATTATATCCCCAGAGTAGAGTGTCAGCTCACTTTAGTTCTGAATCAATTGCCCTGTGCAGGTTACACAACTCTCACACCCCCTGAAAACTGACACAAACATCATATTTGAAGTAAAAACATATGTATTTTTATCTTTATGTTTATCTAAGGAACTTGTGTATCCCCTTTTCATGCTTCCTCTTCTCAATGTTACTCCTCAAAACATGATTCTACCTCACTGAAAGGCCACAATTCTATCCTTGTTTTATTTTTGAATTGGTTTTTCTTTAATGCTTACATCCATAGCATTCATAAGTGATCATTATCCACCCTCCAACAAGCAGGCTCTCATGAAGTCCACATGACCCAGTCCAGTGACAACAGTTTTGCAGGCTGTCCTTGGAACAATTCCAGCTTCCTCTTGTCTCCATTTTGTTAAGGTGTGAACATCAGAAAGCATGGACTGCCACCACCCATGACTACATCTCCTCTTTGTATTTTCCTTCTTTTTTCCCCTGAACTGCCTGTTCTCAAAAAGACCCACTAGTGTGAAATAAATGATTCACCCAGAACTAACTTAAAAAACAATGTGATACCTTGGAATCTTTTCATGCAAACTAGTCACACTTGGGGTTGAGATTCTATCTTTACGTGAACTTTGAGTAGTTATTTAACACACCCAAATGATTATTATTGAAGGTTGTGCCATGCAAGTCAATGAAATTTCTGACTCTGTACTTTATTTTGGGTATATATATAATGAAAATAAAAACTTATTTAGAGCCTGACCTCCAACATAGTGACTGTAGGTTTGAAAATTTGTTTGACACCAGACAAAGACTTGGTCATTTGCTTAAGATACATCATCATTGTCAAATTTGACAAGTAAGCTTAGCATACATTCCTAGAGCATGAATGGAGTCAATTACTGCTCTAGGCACCTTCTTTAGTGGAAAATACAATAATATCACTGATTTTTGTTCCTATTATACAATGAAATTCCTCACATTGAATATTTCCTTCTAGGCTGAAATCTTAACATGGGGATACCAAACTTTGGAACCTTCTAGTAGGGAAGAAGTTATCTCTTCTGAACCAGTTCATTCCTTGGCAGCTTGGCAACCAATTATTGGGCAACTAATAAACTGCCATTTCATTCTACTTTTAGAATGAAATTTCTGTGAACAAGTGAGTGCAATTTGTATATGTACATATACATACAAATACAAACACAACTGATACTTTTTGAAAACATTGATTAGCCACCAAAATAAGAAATTTCCCATTCATGTCACATGTTCACCATTTTCAAAATTCATTACAAAAATGAAACCTAATTTTTAAAACATGGCCTTTTTTACAAAGACCATGGGTTATCATCACAGCTATTTTCACCAGTGCCCCCCCCCCTCCCTTGAATAGTTGTCATACCAAGCTTTCTTTCCCCCCTGCCCAGGGGCAGTACAACTGTTGAAGGGGGCAGGTCTTTATTTGGGCAGTTTTTTTGTGGATGTGAGGTGGGATTGGAAGGTTCTCTCTGCCTCCACGCACATGATGGAAGGTCACTCTCCCACATTGTGCAAAAAAATCTAAACTGACCATCACTTCGGACCTGGGCACTTCCTTCTGCTTCCCATGATAGAGACTGACCTGGTCAGCTCATGAGAATGTGCTGAGCACTGGATAATTAAATGAAAATAAGGCTGCCCTCGACCAAGAATGGAAAATGTATTATGGGTAATTGCCAAGACTTGGTCTCTCTCTCACACTCTCTATCTATCCAAGGATGCCTATGGCAGAGGTGGTCAAAAAGGCTTTCCTACAAAGGCTGTGTAGTGGGCCTTTTGGTTTCCTTTCAAGGAGGCAGCCGTTCTCATGTGCACTGAACATGTGTAAAGACAAATCGAGCATGGGAACAGGGACACTCATTTAACAGGCCCTTGTGCATTATGTATCAACCCATTTATAGAATTGTGTAGTCTTATTTCACCTTTTCATGTATTCTTTATCTTGTGAGTTGTTGGTGTATTTGGTTAATATTAATTAAGTAGTGGGTAGTATTTATTTTATTTTATTTTATTTTAAATCATTACATAGCTTCATATTGTTGGTTGTTGTTTGGCTGTTGCAGTTTGGTGAAAAATGGCCACATTGGAATTGTTGTGTTTTAAAAAAATAAAATCAAGTCAGTGTCATGCTGCACCATTTTCAATGTCTTTTCCAATTGCTTCATGATTTCTTTAAATTGTGCTTGTGATAAACAAATATTTTATTTTGTATTTTTTTTTTGTTAAACTTCTCTAGAAGCATCTTCAACATAATCTTAATGGTACTCGATTGAGCTTGAATTCAGAAAGAATACTATTTTTTTGTGACAAACTCTTGTCACAGATGTATGAAAATTTGTGGTTTTGAACACTTTTGAAATTGAATTGAGTTGAATTTTCATATTTGTACCACTTTTGTAGATTCAAAAGAACACATTGAAATTCCTAATTTTTTTTATAAGATTGTACTAAAATACTTTAGACTTTCATATCATTCTTTAGATTTTAGAATAACTTCAAGAAGCTTTTATAAGACCCAAATTTTTGTAGTATAAATAATATAATAATACAAACATTTTCTTAATTTTGCTAACATAAGGACTGAAATAATCTAGTGTTATCTTGTTTCTAGTCTTATTTTTAATCTATTAATCTTGTTTATCTTAAACTTTGTAATTATTCTATTTCTTGTCATTGTAAATTTAATAATTTGGTAAGAATATTTATTTTTTATTGATAATTTTTTTGAATAAACACTTAAAGTAACCAGATTACCTTAATTTTTTATAGGATGCAAATTGACTATATTTAAGTTGACCTGATATCTTAGAATTGTATGGTTTTTTTTGGTGTTTTTGGATTTTTGGGTTTTTTATTTTTATTTTTAAATATTTAGGCTATTAGGTTTCAATTATTCTATTTTTTAAACATATATCTATATACATATACATATATATCTAATTTCTATATTATTTTTTTAATAACACAAGAGTAAATTCTCTTCTCAAAGTTTTATCTTGGTTTGTATCATTGACTCTTATATTCTAATATGAGAACCTTACTAATAATATTGTATATTTATATCTTGATTTTATAGACTTTGATAACAAAAAATTTCAGTAAATATTAGTGAAGTAATATCAATAAACATATATATATATATATATAAGATTATATAGAGTTAAGAACTAAAAATTAGATTAGTTTTTACCTTGGATTAAATAAGGTATTAATATAAATAAGATTTATTCTCTAATATCATAATTTAACATTATTATATAAATATTTTTTAGTTGAAATTTGAAACTTCAAAACTCAAAACAATATATACATAAATAATTTGATACTTTGGATTGAAGTCATTCTATTACAACCTATAAAGATAAAGATAAAGTTTAAAAAGAAAACAATTTTGGATAATAGTAAATTTTAATAGTTAAAGATAAATTTATCTTTTTTTCAAATATTGAATAAAAAACATGTGTTAAAAATCTCAAATAATAGTCTTACAGGAATTAATATTATACTTATTGATTAACAACTTCATTCTCAATAGAAAACTAAAGATAACTTCTTACTTTTAAAAATATCAAGAATTAGTCACATTAAGTAAATTTCAAATTTCTAAATAGTGAATGAAAATATTGCTAGAAGATATAATCTAGTTGAATAATATTATTCCTAATGTCAGCAAGATTGTAAAAAGTTCAAAAACCACGATTCCAAATTTATTTTTAGTTATGTTATAATTTTTTAGTATTAAAATTGGTACGTATATGATTAAATTCTAATAAAATTTCAAAATATTATATATAAATTATATTATTATAATAAGTCAATAAATCCAAAAATATTTAGTTATAATTATTAGTTGAATTTATTTTTTTATCATATAGAAAAAATGTTGTATCATGAAAATTATCTTAAAAATAAAATATAAGTGAATATGATATTAAATATTTTGTAATTTTTTAGGAAAGAATTTAAAATTTAATA